TGATGATGCTCAAGAAGATGTGATTTGTTCTCTTGCTGTCAAAGGGTGCAACTCATCGTTCCCGAGTCACCTCAGACCCATTTGTGCGCAGTCAAGTCCACCAACCAATATCCACCATGTTGCAGGATTCTTTGGCCTTTCAAGCTCCACAGCCGATGGTCCGAAGAAAGTGACGACGACCCGAAGACGCTAGTGATTCTCGTCGAGACTACTCTCACTGTATTGGTCAACAAGTTTCTTCATCCTGGTCTCGGGTCACTGGTGGCTTCATCGTGGGGTTTGCAATTGGTCAAAGAAACTACATACCGCAATTCTTATGCATCTTAACCCAGCCGTTTCATTTGAGCTTACACGCTGTGTGCGTGGGATTAATTGTCACCCACGGCATCACGCCAATTAAGATGGACGTCGGTCTATCGTGCATACTCTCCCCGGAGTTGCTCAGGCATCCAGCTCGCCCAGAAGTCAGTTGTGGATGTGACATCTCCGCTGTTAGACCCAGAGAAGCGTGGGTGCAAAACCAGCAGGGGTTTATTTCAGCAGCTCGTTTCGAGAGCTATGTATGCTTAAAAACTTGGGCCTATGCTCGGATTCTCGATCCAACTTTTCTCTCTTCTTTCTCCCTCAACCCATCTGCCCATCTGTTTCTGTGTCTTTCAACACCAGACTTTGAGTGACCTCTTCATATTCACAGTGTTTGTTTGTTACTATTTATCCTTGCAGACCATACGTGACCTCCCATAATGACTGCTTCTGAACATCTGAATGTTTTCAAGGGCCCTGAGTCGGTTCGCAACTATTTCGATCCTGAACAATCACCACCTTTGCCCCTTGTTGAAATCCCTGATAGCCTCAACCCATATCGTCAAGATGGTGTCCGAATCTATGCTAAGATGATGACCATGCACCCTGCAACAAACGTCAAGGTGATGCCAGGTTAGTGCTTCATTCTCACACAAAACCACCGAGTATGTAGCTGATTCCCGCAGCTATGAACTTGTTAGAAAAGGGCGTGCAGCCCGGCAAGACAAAGACAATCGTCGAGAGCAGCTCGGGCTCAACTGTCATTTCAATGGCCATGGTTGCTCGCGCTTTTCACGGCATCGACGACGTCCACGCTTATCTCAGCAACAAGACGAGCGAGACAAAGTTGCGCATGATGCAGTTCTTTGGCCTCAACGTGTAAGGAACCTAGCAGATATGACCTTTAAGATTATTACTAACACAAAAGAAGGACTCTGTTTGGTGGACCTGCTCAGCCTACACCCGTTGATGAGCGAGGTGGTATCCGAGCTGCAGCTCGAAAGGACGCAGAATCTGAGTCTGTGTGCAGTCCCAACCAATACATCAACGACGATGTGAGTTCTGTGCTATAATTTGGGCCATGAAAATTAGAACTAACAGCTTGCAGAACTGGAAAGCTCATGTGCGATGGACTGGTCCTCAGATTCACCGTCAGCTCCCCGAGATCAATGTGATCGCCGCGTCGATGGGCACAGCTGGTAAGGCCAATGTTCCCCCAATTCAGTCCGTTATTTAACATCGGTACAGGCACTATGACCGGACTAGGTACCTATTTCAAGCAAGCCAAGCCTTCTGTGTACAGAATTGCGTAAGTTCACTGCTCTGAGCGGACAAGAATGAGAACTAATGTTCATAGCGTCTGCACCAACACTGGAGAACGTGTCCCTGGCCCTCGAGAATATTCTTTAATGAGTGAGGTTGAGTTCCCATACCTCACATCTCACGATGCTCTTGAGGAGGTTGGCGCGCCAGACTCATATTCCCTTTCGTTGGACCTTACCCGACAAGGTATTGTGTGTGGCCCCTCATCGGGCTTCACTTTAAAGGGCTTGTTCCAACGTATTGAGAAGCACAAGCAGGAGGGCACACTATCAAATCTCGCTGGCCCTGATGGCGAGATTCACTGTGTTTTTATGTGTTGCGATCTACCCTTCCAATACTTGAATGAGTATTTCCAGAACTTGGGCCCTGAGAAGTTCAGCCCTCTTCGCAATGAGGTACGTCAGATGGTTTCATTATGGAGAGGATTAAGCTAACAGACTCAGCGTTTGAGGAACGTTGATCTTTACCGATACGATGATGCCTGGGAGCTAGACTCTTTGACTGCTCTATCTAACTACTTCTCCATTCACCCTCTGGGTACTCATGACACCGTCCTTTCACTCGCAGACCAGATCGACAAGGCTTTGACAGCTTCTGCCAATACCCAGATTCTCGATTTCCGATGCTCCTCGGATTATGATGCTTTCCATCTCCCCAACTCAGTCAATATGCCCCTCGATGCACTCCGAAATGGGCCTTCCAGCGGCAGTCCTTTCGCCAATCCCGCTGATGACTGCGCCATGCTCGAGGAGCTCTGGCTTGAGCTTGAGAGTCTCTTCAGCGTCAAGGACAAGGCTGGCAACCGGAATGCCAGCGCCGAGGCTCTCATGTCTATTCTTCGAGGAAAGAGAGTCTTGACACTGTGCTACGATGGCGACAGCTCTCGCGTGGCCAACAGCGTCCTTCGTGCCAAGGGCGTTGAGGCAGAGTGCATCCGCGGTGGCTACAGCGCCCTCGCTAAGTTGCAAATGCCATGCAATGACACCTGCGAGGTTGTGTCTGTTCCCGTTTCTGTTGAGGTCTGAGCTGGAGTATCTTCAAACTACTTGCTAGTATTTGGATTCATCATTTCTTTCACATATGAGATCCGGCCGGACGTGCAGTGGGCGTCCGGGGCCGGCCGATGTCTTGCTGACATCGGAGTTGAGCTATACAGGAGTTGTTCTTTCTTTTGCCTGATTACGATTTATGACCGAGATATAAAAGAATATAGTCGCTGGTTAGTGCAAGCTTCAACGCCACAACGCCATGCGAATTGAGAGGTCGAAACCAGAAGTGCAGTGGGTTTCTGGGGTTTTCGATGGATTTTCTTCAGTGCGGAATATACGAAATTGCAGAGATCCATGGCTATCCTAACTTCAACCCTGTGAATAAGAGCCCTCTGTAGCAAAGTTTTCAGTGAAGTTCACGATGCTGACAGCAATCTCCCGAGAGCGGCAGCATATGGGCTCTATCGCATTCAATATGACCGAGCTTGAGAGATCAACTATCCTTCTAGCAAAGTTCTCGAAGGGTTATGGAATAATTCTAGAAGAGATAGGTTGATTCCGCGGAGGTTGCTGGTGTTCCGCGAAACGTGTGGCGATAATGACTTATGCATTCCTCACAGGCATAGTCATGGCTGGAATAGGTAATTCAAGCTCCGGCGCGCCAACGTCTAGGCTTATACCGTCAGTGAGGGTGTTGAAGATAGTGTGGTTTGGAAGGAATGTAGACGGAAGTAAGAGTGCTTGTCTCAGACATAACAAATAACCTACAGGCAGACGGACGGACGGACGAGAGATTGACTCAAACAGAACTCTTACATAGAGGAAGGCCTGAAAAGATAGTCTAGCATGTGTCAGAATACACAACTTATTGTGTCTTAGAGCCACTTTATTCGGTTGAGATGAAGATCAGTGGATCATCACGAATCTACGACAGCACCAACACCGGCATTGCTTCACTTTGACACATCAGAGGTAACGGAAGAGCAACATCCATTATTTAGCCCCTAGTTACGAATTCTAACAGTTCAGGTTCCCGTTCCTGCATCCATTTCATAAGCCACAGTCCATAAACTCCAGTAGTGCAAGTTACAAAGTCTCGACTTGGCGATAGCAGACCATCCAAGATGCAAGGAATGAGGGACGGGTGAGCCGGTTTCCTAGCGTAAAACACCAACAGGTAACTAAACGCCAGGCACAGGTCATATGATCTGCAGTGACAGCACGTCTTATCGTTAACGCCGCTGGACACAGTCTTACTGGTAAGCTTACAAGGGATGGGCTTAAGTGAAACGCCTCTGTGAGTGTGTATTTGAGTCAGTTTATTAGGGGTTCCTAAGGCAGAAGAGACAGGTAGAAGAAAATAGAGATGGATAATGGCTGTTTGAGGATTATCACCACAACGGCCAACTAACATTCCAGAATAGAACGGTTTACCGATACATCGGAAAGATGGATATTGGCAATTCTATCAAAAAGCTTGATAGTCTCCCAAAACACATTCTCTTGAACCGCATTATTCCCCTTTCAGTCCCCAAACCGCCTCCACACCAAAAGCGTCAATGGTTCACTTCCGCATTCGACCATGCGGCGTCAAACTCGATATCCCCACTGAATAGTTTTCCACGGGCCTCTTTTCTATGTCCGATGAGTATTCTTTCTCTTTGAAGGCTTGGAGCTAGAAGAACTCAGGAGTATTGTCGCCGAATTGAAGGCATTGAATACAGCCTTTGACCGTTCATGCTGAACAATTTGCATTATCGTCATACAAGCGACGAGATGAATACCCTTGCTTCCAGATCGTCGGGATGAGGCGTCACACATGTCTCAGAAGTTTCAGGGTCTAAGCGAACCAACAAACCAAAGACGCCTGACATTTCTGTATCCGAAACAATCAGCAGCCCTGCATCGAATCATGTCACCAATAGAACCGCTGCACGTAACGCAGAATCATCTGTTTAACACCACCTCATAATTAGAAACAATATATACACTTCAGAGCGCCTAATAAAACCCTTAACTCTAAACCAGGCACGAACAAACATGCCGCCCTAGAACAGGCCATGGCGTCGGTCGAAGCCGTACCACATCCCCCCCATCCAAAGAGTCTAGCCTAAAGCTTATATCCTCTCAAACCAACTATTGAAATGGGGGGGAGGGTTGCGTACTTCGTAGAATATGGGCACAATACAGGGGCTTTGTGGATATAAACTCGAGCCTTGCCCAACCCGTTCTCAAGAGTGAAGAAGAGAAGACGGAGCGCGGTTGATAGTGTCTCACTTTGATACACATCACGTTTAACATTCTTTCATTTTTCTTTCTCTTTTTCAACTTGTATACATACCACATCACACTCCTTTTCTTCAACATCAATCATTCATCGCCATGATGAAGTCTCGACGAACTCAACGATCCAAGTCTCTCCCTAACAACCAATCGCCCAAGAGATCATTCTTTTCTATCATTTCTCGCCGGCTTTCTCTTAGTTCCAGACGACGCGCCGACTCTGTTCGCTTGTATGACGACAGTGAAGATGATGACACTGTCCAAGTGATCCCTCAAGAGGTAATAAGCCCCCAGCTCCCCTTTCAACGGTCCTTTCTCACATATCTTCATAGATTCAGCCACCCACACAATCTCGCTTTTCTAGACGAGCCTCCCGCTTCTGGTCTACCTCAGCTGCCAACCAATTCGACGACGATGACTCTTCGCCTCAATCGCCCACGTATCCCGCCTATGGGGGCGCTTATGTTCCCCGACACGCTGCAAGCGACTTCTCAAAGACAGCTTCCAACCGCCTCACCATGATGGCAGAGGCAGATGAGACAACTCTCTGTTCATACAACTTTCGCACCAACAGGACTACCAGAAGCTTCGGCACAGACGATGAGCTTGACGTGGACCATCGAGAACAAGCCCTCAATGCCCTTACTAGTATCGCCCTCTCGAGCGAATCAAGCAGTGAGAGCACCAACGACTATACTCTTTTCTTGGCCGACGCTGCGACTGGCTCGGATGCACGACGACGAAGGTCTGCTGCTGCATGGGCTGAGCTCGAGCACAGAGCAACGGCTGCGAGTCGAAGGACCAGCGGCACGGATTTCCTCATGGGTCGACCGGGGCGCACGCAGAGTAGTTATCTGGGCTTACCTGGCAGTGCATATGACTCTTCCAGGCCAGCAAGCTCGGTTGCTGTGAGCATCACCGAGTATATCAGACCAGCACAGACTGGCAGGGTTTGGTGATGGTTCTGTTCCCAGAGTACAAAAACCAAGTATGAGATGTGACATATGACTGGCTGGAAATCTTCGTTAGGCGTTCTTGGGCTGGCGTTATATGCAATATCAGAGTGTAAATCTGGCTAGGGTTATCCAGGTGAAACCCAAATGGCTTTTGACCACAAGCGCGACTGCGCACACTTAAGACCAAAATAAACCACGTTCTCTTTTGATCAGTCCGATCGTGACTAGGCCTAGTTCAAGCGGCCAAATATCGGTATACACTGAGCATGTATCCAGGACTGAGCAAAGTCTTCAGTGAAGTGAGTCGAGCCACGGATGCAATGTGGTATTGATAGATGCCACAGCGCTATATATGAAACCAATTGCCTCGAACGCCAATTTTGTCATGGCGATATTCGCGATATCGCGGGACACATGATTCGTCTCATGCCTTCATGCAAGAAGCTCTGCTATCCCATTATACACAAATGAATACCCAGCCATGGCAAGATGCACCATACCGTAGTTAACCAAGCTGGTCTGTAGCAACACAGACCGATATAATACTCCAAGGCCACATATGCCCACCCATGCCGTAACTCCTCTCATGCCATTCTGCACCAACAGTGATAGGCTCTTTACACTTTCGTAACTTGGCTCTCACAAGGGTATAATATGACAAGTCGCGAGGCCCAAGCGCGGCATGAAGATACCTGAAAAACAGACCCCTAGATGGTAAGGCAACCCGAACAAGCGGCGCCTATTGTGGCCACGCATATATATCACCCCCTTATGACTGCATGACTCCCGCGACAGCCCGTCTTGGAATCAGAATCTCCTCATCATCAGAGCTGTCGGCTGCCTCCACGCTCGCCTTGTCCAGCATCCTTTCTATATCCTCATCTCTCAGTGGTTTTCTTGTTTTCCCGCTCCCTAGCCCGATACCACTTGGCAAAGAGAGTGTCCCTCTTAATTGACTTCGGCTACCAATGGTTCGCCTTCTAGGTGCTGCCCTGTTCTGTGCAGCATAATGTTGCTGTGGTGAATCCAGGTCCATTGGTGACCCAGGTGGCGGTGCCATGGGTGATTTATCATAAGGAGCTTTTCGCGTTTGCTGAGGTTGCCGCTGTGATGTGGGAAGCGGTTTTCTCGGCCCTGAAGGCAACGCGTGTCGTGGGGGAGGGGGTCGAGCCATACCAGCATTTGGCCCCGGTGATCCCGTCGGAGAGAAAGCGTGCTTCAGATTGGCAGAGTTGCCTGGACTACTCATGAACAACAAAGTCTCAATAGCATCTTGTTCCCTAACATTTTGATGCGGTGACATGAGAACAGGGTCGCCCATGACGCGTGATTTGGGCCCATGCGGCACAGTTGAAGGTTGACCAGGCGTGTGAGGTGAAGCGGAATGAGAATGTGTCAACATGTTCGGAGTTCGATTGGGGTGGGAGTTGCGGCGTGGGTTCGCATGGGAGTTAGGCACGAGGATTGACGGCCGGATGGGCGCTGGAGGCGCAAGTGCAGGCTTGTTCCACGATGAACTTGGAGGTGTGTTTGATTTTCGACGTTGGCTAGCAGAGCCGTATGGATGTGGTAGAGGAGCTGACGAGGATGGTGGGTTGCTCATTTGTATTCGAGGGCTTGCCGAGGAACCTTGTCGGTTATGTATTGTCGACGTGGTTGAAACTGGAGATGCGGCCTGGGACGCCATATTCTCAACTTCTTCAAGTGAGTTTGATTGCCAACCCTTATTAACCTTGATCATGGCATATGACAGACGCGTCTTTAACTCGTTGGACAACTAGAACAAGCGTGTTAGTAGTGGCTTCACAAGCGATTGATCACGTCCTTGAACAGGGACGCGGTTCTCGGGAGATCGCATTCGACATACCTCTCCAATATGGCCGCCTGCTGCTGATGTCCTGCTTACAGCGCTTGGGTTTCTTGAATGGCCCTTCACGGGACTCTGGCTATCCGTTCGGCTTTTAACCTCTCCATCGGCCATTCGCTTCCGTGAATTTGTGGGATCTGTTGCGATTCTGTGCTGAGCAGCAGCAATCTCTGACAGCTGTAACAACTGACTGTCCTGACTTGACGGGCCGGGTGCGCAGTTGCTGGCATCGCTGGCTGGAGGTGTGAATGCGGGATCTGTAGAAGTGGTCATGGTGGTCTCTTGGGAATCGGTGTTTGAGTGAGGATGGCTCTGCGTAGAGCCATCGTCGCGGTCGATAGAAGATTTGCGCTGCATTTTGGCGATAGCTGCGACAACGACGGCATGGGCGGTTGTAGTTCCCGCTGTTGAATCAACAGCAATATCGCTGGCAGGCGTAGGCGATATCGATGCAATCGGATTTGAGTGGGAGGCTCGTGAGAGCGCGTCGGCCTGGGGTGGTACCGCGAAATCCCCACCTTGTCGCGCTCCCGTAACCGTCGCTGGCACTGTCTCAGCGGGAGCGTCCAGTCGGGTATCTGCCGCCTTGAACGGGGGAGGAGGCGCAATGCGATTGTTATCCAGCGCAATTTCAACCAGAGGCTGATTTGGACTCATGACAGGAATAGGAAGCCTCCAGGTCTGGAGTTGTGAACGTTGTTAGGGCGAAGATAAAGTCGCTGAAGAGGGACCACAATTGGAGGGATTCCAGAACGTGTAAGCCTAGCACGTAGATCCGCTGTACAAGTGAACCCTCACTTTTAGTTAGGTGCTGGAGAATGCAGACCGACAACTGAAGTGGAGGGCGACGTACACGTTAGAGGGCCCCAGAGAGAAGGGTCTAGGGTCTAGACAGATGCTGAGACTGACCACGCGGCGGGAAATCCGGGCCACCAAGGGAGCTAGGGAATAATTGGGGGTTTGACGATTTGATACGATATCCAATGTTGTCTTGTTTGTTTACGATGATTCGACATGGAACAGTAATTAGATGAATTTGAAAGTGATGGAGTGGAAATTCAGCAAGAAGCCCAAAAAAGATAGATGTGAGCTGTAGTGAGTCAACCTACTGAATTAGGTTACCATTTAACACCTGCCCACTGGTGGTTTGCGGTTTAGCATGGTCTCAACGCGGTCTGATACGCGACTTGAACTTGACTCGAGCACAGAAAATACCTTAAAATGTGCGGCTGCATGGGACCCGAGAAGCCAAGCCCAGACCCGAAATCTGCTAAAGATACACTAAGCTTTAGTGGCTGCAGGGTTGTCCTCGGCCAACTTGCAGGCGTTCATCCGCTGAAGTTACAGCACTGACTTTACCCTCTCTTCGGTTGCACAAGCCAGTCGGGTCGCGTGCTAGAATAATGTAACAACAGAAGATAGGATGATACTGTAGGCACGGGAGCGTTTAGTCTAATGAGTACTTCAACGGTGCGATGGGAGGGCCATGATCTGAGGTGTCCATTAAAGACCTCATTCCCACTCATGCACCTCGAAAATACAAAAAAGCCGCGTGGCGCTGCAAGGTTTTGGGAGGGCTTTTGAGAAATGATGGAATAATGAGCTTGCGCAACGCGCGTAGGCATCAGTAGAAACATCCACGACATGATTGTTGGAGTAGAGCAGCACATGACACTGTAGCAAATCATTTTCGACATCATACCTCAGCTTGAATGCAGACGAACGAGTACAACAGCAATGACCTCACCCCTGTAACCCCAACTTCGCCTGTCCCCCTCATTCAATGGGACCCCATGACACGCTTGGGCCAGCCAGAGACGTTGATGACGCGAAATCACGTGGCAATAGTAGGCCATCTAAGGGTGAAAAGAAAACTCAGGACTTTGATCCCAAGTGACAAAAAGGCTTAGATGACTTAGCATGAACTTAGTATAAGTTTTGCCTGAGTTTAGGATACCTTTGACAGGTTTATTTTGACACCATGTATCAAGGTCCGCTGTTTTCTTGCTCCCAGAGGACCATTGTGATAGTATGTAGTAAACATTGTTCGTCCACTTACAACGGCACCTAGATGCAGGCTGGGACACGACATTGATGGGAGAATTCTTGGAATATCAGGTTTTTAGGTCTTCTATTTCAATTATGATTTCTATCGTAATTTAGCAGATCACCCTTTACACTAAACGTCTATCATGGTATAGAAAAATATCTATCTTCCCCAGAGATTTAGTTTCATCATGGCCGCACAATCATCCACAAGCTGGCTCATCACTTCTATCATGCCCTTGAACGCCTCCATCCAAAATCACTTCCTCGTTGTTATTCAGATCATGCTGGACCCTCTGCCATCCCTTCTTCTTTCGCGATTCTCTTCCCTCGACCTCCGCACCCTTGCCCTTGGCGTCAAACACAGGCTTGATCAGCGCTCCCAGGAGAGGGTTGCCGCTGAAGGCTCCGCCGCCTCTCCCACTGTTCTTGTTCGCTGATGTCTCTCCAAGTGCGCCATTGTCGACAGGGTCCTCGTCGGACTCAGGAGTCACAGGTCTTTCGACTGCTGCCATCTTGCGAATAACCTTGCCACCAACCACGTCAATGCTCACAACCTGCTTTCGCTTCTCGTAGTCTGGCCGCGCGTTCCACTCCATTTCTCGAAGCACTTTCTGTTGACGCTTCAATTCTCTCGCTCTCTCCTCAGGAGTTGCCCACATGCTGCCTGTCCCTGTAAGCGCTCCACCAACGTCAAAGTCAGCAGCCTCATCGCGGACTGTCGTTCGCCTGGCATTTTGTGCTTGGAAATTGAGAAGCTTGTCTCGATGCGCACGAGCCTTGGCTTCAGCGTCGCTTAGTGAAGCGCCGTCGTTGCCGCGTGGTTGAGTAAACGGCGCTGGGGTCTTGGCAACGTCAGCACGGCGATTGGCGTCTCGGTTGGCTGCCATTCGCTCGCGGCCTCGCTCATCCTTCAGCTCCCGGACCATGGCTTGGACGTCATCCGGCGTCAACAGAGGGCTACCGCAGAACGTGCAAGGTCCGAGACCTTCCTTCATGCATATAACCTTGCCGCATGAGAGGCAATTTGGCGCAGCGCCTTGAAGAGGGTGTCGTGTAGCGACACAGTTGCACTTCCTAGACTTGGAATTCTCCAAGGTAGGGTTTGTTGAGATTTCCAGCGCCCTGATAGCTGCGTCGAGATCAGAAATGGCAGTCGAAGCTCCAGCCATCGGCATGCCTCCAGCTATAGATATCTTTGTGCTTGTAGCTGGCTTTGGTGTAGAACTTCGTGATACAGGCGTAGATTTAGGTTTGGGTTTCGATGGTCCTCCCCCTATAAGATAACCGGCTGATACATGCTGCTTAGGTGGAGGCTTTGCGACAGGCTTCGGGTCTGGTTTCGGCGTGTTCGATCGTGAAGCATTGTTACTGCTGGGTGCACTCGAACGCTGGGGGATGTAGTCAAGGCTCAGATCCTTCTTGCTGTAGGTTGTACCCGCAGGTGCAGCATAGTCGTTGACTTGTCTTGCTTGCGGTGTGTGAATATTTGCCTTCTTCTTTTTTGGCTGCCGTTTCGTCTTGGGTACAGCCTCGATATTCTGTGATTCGGGTTCAGGCGGTGCAGCGGCGCTGGAGTACGACGAGCTCCCAGGCGCCGAAGTTTGCCGTCGGGCGTTAAACGACGATATAAACTCGATGGCCTGTGGAGAGTCTCCTAGGAGGTTTCCAAAATGCTCTGCAGCTTCTGTTGTGGAGAGAGTCGAGGCGTAATCTAGTATCTGTTTAAGCTCCTCGTCGGGAAGCGGTAACAGCTGCGACAGCTGTGCGATCGACATGGCTCGTTGTTCTCGTGAGATAAGGGACTCCTTAAACCTTTCTGGAGCTTGAATGTGTCTAAGCGACTGGCTTCTTTTCGCTGACAGTGAAGAGCGAAAGTTGTTAAAAATGGAATGTTGACGTCGTTGAAGAAGATAGCTTGAAGCTCCCCCACCAAACCTCTTAGCCCCTCCAGAGGTTTAAGAGCATTCTGTTTGCTGACTCACACGCCGACTTTTGCCCTTCAGTCCCTCCATACTGACGGGGTTTCCATTGTATAACAAAGCAACAGCGTTTGAACATTTGAGGTTTTCTTTGCACTCATTGGTGCCTTGGAAAAAACCTTTCAGTTAACTTTGACTGGCTTTGGTAGCTGTTTACTTGGGAGAATCAGCTAAAAAATAATTTCACCATGAATGCAACAGGGTATTCGTGCTCGGCTCTTTGTCGTATACCGTACACGTGCAACTGTTTTATGACAGCTTTTCTTTCTTTCCGAGGTACCCGTAGAAATCTGATATGTGAACCATCATGTGGTTCTGCAAGCGTACAGCCATTGATCCGCTTTATGCTGGATGCTCATGGCACATGGATCCATAAGTTCAGCAATTCGGTGTAAGTCGAGGGAAGCTTCTTACAGTACCGGATGAATGGATAAGTAAATGATGTCGAAGCGAGCCAACCAGACAGCCAGGATGCTCAACTAATGCAGTCTCGGTTTGCTTGATTTACTGACATATTCCACCTAAGATCTAGTGATCAGATGGCCTACACAAAGTGATTTTCAGCGCCATAAACTTGGGACCTCTATGTTTACTGAGAGTATGTGTAGCCGCCAGATACTTTAAGAATCAAGAGATTTACTACATGATCATAGCTGGTATTTCATCATGCAAGAGGCTCTTGTCTGGTCTTCCGTGTCTTCTCAAAAATCGAAATTCCGAGCCTCCTCCGCTCCGGCCCCTCAGCTCGATACGCTAAACCCGAAGAGGCATAATATGCCTTGAATTGCGTCGCACTGGAGCTTCCCCATCCTCCTCCTTCCGGGTTTCCCTCCCCGTATTTAAAGTGCTCATCGCCAACCTCTTCTTCTTTCCACCCGCATCCCGTCCTTTTTTACCCTTTTCTCCAATTGAAGAGTTAAACAATCGCAAAAATGTTCGCCGCTTCTCGTATCCAGCGCCGTGCTTTCTCGGCCACCGCCCGTGACGTAAGTTTAATGCCCTCACTCATGAGCGCACCGATTTATACCTTTTGTGGTTTTTTTCCTCCTCACCGACCGACACCGGCCCGGCTGTTGGGGAGCCATCATGAGATCAGATTTGAGCTTCAGAGAAGCCGAAATCGTTTCAATGCTTCCATCAAGTACTGACATGTCTTCTGTAGCTCTCCAAGGTCACCGTTCTCGGTGCTGCCGGTGGCATTGGCCAGCCTCTCTCTCTTCTCCTCAAGATGAACCCCCGCGTCACTGACCTCGCTCTCTACGATATCCGTGGCGGACCCGGTACGTAACGACATTATCAGATTCTTTCGGTCGGGGTCAAAACAATTGCAAATTGGCATAAACGAGAATCGAGCAACGATCATGTTGACCATGTTCGCTAAAACCCAATTCGCCTTTGTTGCCACCTCGCCAGATCTGGACCACCGGCTAACAAGTGAAATGCAGGTGTTGCTGCTGACATCTCCCACGTCAACACCAAGTCCACCGTCAAGGGCTACGAGCCCAACGCTGCCGGACTCAAGGAGGCTCTCTCTGGTGCCGAGGTTGTCCTCATCCCCGCTGGTGTTCCCCGCAAGCCCGGTATGACCCGTGACGATCTCTTCAACACCAACGCCTCCATCGTCCGCGACCTCGCCAAGGCCGCTGCTCAGGCTGCTCCCAAGGCCAAGCTCCTGATCATCTCCAACCCCGTCAACTCTACCGTCCCAATCGTCAAGGAGGTTTTCAAGGCTGAGGGTGTCTACAACCCCAAGACCCTCTTCGGTGTCACCACCCTCGATGTTGTCCGTGCCTCCCGATTCGTTTCCGAGATCAAGGGCACCGACCCCAAGGACGAGAACATCACCGTTGTCGGTGGCCACTCCGGTGTCACCATCGTCCCTCTCTTCTCCCAGTCCAACCACCCCGACCTCTCTTCCAACGCTGAGCTCGTCAAGCGTGTCCAGTTCGGTGGTGATGAGGTTGTCAAGGCCAAGGACGGTGCTGGCTCTGCCACTCTTTCCATGGCCATGGCTGGTGCCCGCATGGCTGACTCCATCCTCCGCGCTGTCCAGGGCGAGAAGGGTGTCATTGAGCCCTCTTTCGTCGAGTCTCCTCTCTACAAGGACCAGGGTATTGAGTTCTTCAGCTCCAAGGTTGAGCTCGGCCCCGAGGGTGTTGAGAAGATTCACCCTCTCGGCAAGCTCGATGCCAACGAGGAGAAGCTCGTTGACGCTGCTCTCGTCGACCTCAAGAAGAACATCGAGAAGGGCGTTGCCTTCGTTGCCTCCAACCCTCCCAAATAAATGATCTCTGGCTCATTTCGAGCTCTTAGAGAACGACCTAGCTTAAGAGAACTGGGTATTGTGGCGAAAAGGAGAAAAAGGATAGAGGTAAACTCTCAGTACGGATGTCTTTCGTGTGAGGATCGGGAATAAGAGGCGGGGTGTATGAGCGATTGATATACCCATGCTTTTCTTCCTATTGTTCTACCACCTCTATAGACTTGGAAATCCGGTCTGTGTCTGTACTATAGCAATGAATAAAAAAATACCCCAAGATATTGTGTCTTTAGTGACTGGATTTGACTGGCAAGCGAATGCTGGCACTACAGTCAGAAATAATCAGTTCTGGACTTGGTGATACTAACTACAGCGTTACAATTAATCATAGCCTTTGGTTGTTTAAACAAATGGTCACACCTTGAGCCTCAAATGCAATTAAAATAATCGATTGTGTTCATGATCAAGTCTACCCATCAATAGTATACACCTCCAAATTGGTCGGCTCCTAACTTCTCCAGCCTGCCCATCCCTAATAATTTCCTCCTGTCTATAATATAGTATGCTTACTCTAAAGCCTCTCATGAGATCTAAACCAAAATCTCAAACATCTCATTATGATTGAGTAAGACTATTAAGTCCTTCCAGCTCGCCACTCCTCAATCTTTCTTCGTCGCTCCTCGACTTTACGCTCAAACTCGGCAACCTTCTCGAGTCTCTTCTGCTCCTCTTCCTCGTCCTTCTTCTTCTGGGCGGCGGCGCGGCGAACAGCCTCCCTCTCCAGCTGCTCAGGTCGTCGCTCGGCAATATCGCGAGGTCGGTAATCGCTGAAGAACTTCTTCAAGCTGACCTCGATAAGCCAGCAAGCAGCGTAGTCGATGACCATGACGGCAGTCATGTTGGTTTTGAACTCGTCCGAGAAAGGAACAAGCTTCATACCCTCGTTGATGTCGGGGAAGAGCTCGAGAGCACAGGCAAAAGCAAGTCCGGAGACACCAACGATACCGTAGAACATACCCTTGTTCTCGGAGAGAGATTCACGGAAGGGACGGCCTTGATAGTTGATGGCGAAGGTGGAGATTTGCTGGATCAGCTGGAGAAGGTAGACGGCAGAGTTGAGCAGAGATGGGGCAAATTCAGCCTCAAGATCAACATCCTCAGAGCGACTACAAAATGTTAGCTATCATATCAGGGTCATGTAGAATGGAGTGTTAGCTTACGGAGCAAGTCTATCGCAGAGTCGGGCGATGTAGATCAGGGTGACGATGTGAACAGCAAACTGTCCCAGAATCGAGCCGATGATATAAACGTTGAAGATGTTGGGCTGAGGACGTTCCTTGCTAAGGCCCTCGACGACGCGAGCGCGAGAAATGCTGAGGAAGCAAACTGACATGAGCATACCACTAATGGTATACTGTGTGTCACCAAATTTGATACCCTCAAGATACAAGACGGACAAGGAGTAAGCGGTGATAAGACAGTTGAGGGCGAGAATCTTGTACATCTGGATAGTGGCAACAAGAGTGCAACGGCCCTGGCGGATGATGTTGGGGACAGCAACGACGTTTCGGAGTTTGGATGTGAAAGGTGCAGCAACTGAGGCATCGCCAAGTTTGAGAGTAGGGGGCTCGTCATCTCCCAATTCAGCCTCCATCATACCAGACGCAAGCTTGTCAGCGAAACCGGCGGCCTTCTTAGCAGCCTCGCCTTGACGGTTGGCATGAGGACCAGCATCCATAAGAGCCTGAGCGCCAGGAGAGGTGATGGTTTCGTAATCGAAGCCTTGTGACTTGGCGTATTCCTCGGGGGTGACGTTCTTCTTCTGAGCTTCACGCTCAATAGCCTTCTGAAACTGAGGGTTCTGAGGTCCAGGGGGGTAAAGGTGGGCAATCATAGCAGGGACAGGAGGATTAGGTTGGTTGAACCGCTTCATGAGATCACATTGCTTCTGATACATCTCCTTCATCTTGGTGTTTCGGGAATGTTCGGCAATACGAGTGAGATCTTCGGGTGTTCCATTCAACAGAGCAATACCAATGTGAGCCTGCTTCAAAGCACCAACATCGTTGGTACCATCACCAGCCATCAGAGTGTAGTAACCCATATCCTTGAGACCAAGGAGAATATCCTCCTTTTGCTTGGGGGAAACACGAGCGTAGACCCAGGTATGACGCAGAATCTCATTCCAGGCAACTTGTCCCTTGAACTTGGCAAGAGCGTAACCGGTAACGCAGATATCCTTGGAGCGAATGATCTCGGGGTCAATGGGCTTGGTGGGGTCGACCTTGATGCTGACCTTATCATCAACACTCTTCCAGACGAGCTTGTCACCGTTGGAGTTATCTTCGGGGGCATCAAGGATAAGGACGTCACGATCGACGATTTCAACCTCACGAGCGACATGTACGGCGGTAAGGGGGTTGTCTCCAGTAATCATGACCACGCGATGGCTGCTCTCGTTCAACATCTGGACAGCCTCTTTGGCATCATCCTTGAGAGGGCAGTGCAGGACGAGGAAACCGGCGAATGTCAAATCAGACTCAACCTTCTCGCGCTTCAGATCATTGATCTTTCCAGAACCAAGCTCAGTATCGATGGTAAGCTGCTTGTAGGCGAGGGCCAGAACACGGGAACCCTTGCGAGTGAAGTACTTGTAAGTCTCTTCATAGTCATCGGGGATAACCTTGAGCATCTTCTGGATGGTCTCGGGCGCACCCTTGACGCCAGCGAAAGTACCCTTGATCTTGTGACCAGTCTTGATATCGTTTCCGTGAACCATAGCAACAGAACTTTGGCGCTTGAGGGCAGAAGAGAATTGGAATCGGCGTTTGATCTGAACGGTACCATGTGTGCTTCCAGCCTTATTGGTGCTCATAAGGGTATCGTTGCGACCAAGAGTCCAGCCAAGAGATGTTAGAGTAGCCTTCTCCATGGGGTCACCAACGATGTCTCCCTCGTCAAGCTTGACAAGGGCGTGGGCGGTTGCAAGAACCAGCTTGGTCTCGAGAGAAGCCTCTGTGACAGCAGTCATGGTAGAGTGAGCACCATCCTCCTCCTTGGTGTCCTTGATCTCATCTTCGTGTCCAAGAGCCAGACCAGCGATACCCTCTACGACAAGATCCTCGCCAGTCAGGGTACCTGTTTTGTCAAAGCAGGCCACATCAACACGACCAGCGAAAGGAATTCGGAAGGGTTCAGTACAGAAGATAGCCAGCTTAGCCAGAGCTGCCAAACTGGTGTTGACGGCAAGACTAAGCTCCATGGGAAGCTCAGGGGGAACGACACTGGTAACAATCAAGACACAGTCGAGCATGAGCTTAGAGCGCTTGCGATCCTTGCGAACACCCTCATCCCAAACATACCAAGCGGCAGCAATGGCGAAGATCAGAAGGAACAGAATGAAGAAGAGAGCCTCGGCGTTGTTGGCAGATACTCGTTCAGTTGAGTAGATCATAGTTCGAACCAGGTTACCCTGGGAAGTCTCGAAGCCAGTCTTCATGACGATGGCCATGGCGCCGTTGTCCGGGGGAGGTGGAACACCAGAGGAAAGCTTAGGCTTCTCCTGATCAGGGTTTCCGTGCGTGATCTGGAGAACCTTGGTACCACCCCACAAGAAAGCGTTCTTGTCAAGACCTTCGGCGTCCAGAGGAACATCGGAGGGTCGAAGCTGGATGGAGTCCTTGAGGAGAGGAGTACTCTCGCCGGAAAGCATAGCCTCGTTAACAATAGCGGTACCTTCGACCAAGAGCATATCACAAGCAACACCACTATCCTCCTTGGTTCGGTTGACAGAGGCAAGGTCACCAGGGAGAAGCTCGTCGCTCTGAACCTCGGTCCACTTGCCCAGACGGAACACCCACATATCGTAGGGCTTGATGCTCATACCGCGAAACTCGTTTAGGGTGCGCTGACGCTGCCAGACGACAGTACTCTCGAACACGACAAGCATAAAGAGAGTAAAGAGCGAATAATACCAGTACTCATCAAGCATCCAAAGTCCGACACAGAAGATCTGGAAGACGAAGAATGGGGCGACTGCGTGCTCCTTGAAGAGCTCGGTGAAAGTGGGAACGGGAATATCGAAAGCATTCTTGCCATAGTGTTGCTCAATTCGCGATAACTCAGTCTGGGTCTGGATACCCTTGGAAGTCTGAAAGTGGCCAATAGAAGGCTTGGGCTCGACATCGATATCGTACTTGAGGGTAGTGAAAGACTTGGTAGTGGTATCGTAGAGGAATCGCCGCTTCTGGAAGAGGAACGAGGTGTTGAGCTTGCCACCAGCCTGCAACGACGATGTTAGTAATTTGAGTTGTTTCTGAATATCAAAATCTCCCCACCTTATCGCGAACAAGCTTGCAAATCTCGGCGGAACCGGCGTTTGCAATAGGGATGACCTTGATCAACTCCGCATCCTCAACGTCCTTGGCCTTAGAGGCCTTGAACTTGCCCTCAAGATCAACACTCCAATGTGTGCTGAGCCAGACAAGAGACTGCAGAGTGATGATAGTTCCAACCCAGACGACAGTCCATTCCTCGGCACCGATGTACTTTTCGTAGAGCTCGGGGCTCAAGTAAAATGCGAAGAAGATGGGCCAGATAATAGTAAAGGGCCAGATATATGCGTGGAAATGGAATGACAACGGGCGCAGCAGCTCGGCGTGCTTGATTTGGGGGTTGTCGACGAGGGGTGCCATGATGGGCGAAAGGGGTCAACACAGGCGTATCTCGATCTGAGAAGTAATTTCGAGATTCAACTATATCATTAGATAGAATATTTGACTCTTTTCGAGTGTTTGCGGTTGTTTGCCCGCCGAGTGGCTAAATTTCCCAATTTCTTGGTTGCAACCTGCAAGTCGCGATCTGTACTTTTCGTCGAGGTAATCGATGGGTTTGGCCCACGCCACGCTTAGTACAGTATGGGCCGGCGTCTCGGAGCTTGTCATCCACCGATAGCGTCACGTGAGGCATTACGGCACGCCATTTGTTTCCAAAAGTCTCCATTGCCTTCTCAACAACAGCTGCCTAATAAGCATTTTTTCAGCGGGAGGCTTAATTTAGGCTTAATGCTGTACGATTCAGGCCGATGAGGAATTAATGTTTTGAAGATGCAGCAACAGTAGTTGAATCCCATCGAGACATCAGAGGACAGCCCAGTAACAAGGAAGACACTTAAAGAAATGTCTCAGACCCAAATCTGAATCAGGGCACTACTTTCGATCTCTTGGATCTAATCTTATCAAATCATATCTATGCAGCCAATAACTATAACCCCAGCGCGCTACAGGCATCCCTGAGATCTTTGTGTACCTACAGTAAGCGAGGCTTGTCTAAACGAGAAACCGTACGAACCAGCCAATCATACAACCAATCTCCAACATCTTCAACCTCAACCTAATGTGTACTGTGAGTTCATTTTGCTCGTGATGACAAAATCGCTCGGGTCAATGGTTCCGATGGGTGATGTTATTCCCCCATTGCCGACCTTAGACAGGCAATGTCAGAGTTGAACTTGTTTGTACCCCTCACAGCAGCTCAGCCTCCAGCCTCGGTATGCTATGTAGACTAGATATGTATATAAAGGCCTAAAGAACCGTAAATGTTCTCTCAAGCCAAAGAGAAAACTCAACAGCTCACGATTATTACATACCTACTACTTTGTCATGCCTGTTCAATATGATACTGAATTCGCCGAGGCGCTGGCTCTTATCAAATCCGGCCGCCCTCCAGCACCCCCTGAGACAGCCCTCGAAATGCGTCACAACAACCACGCTCTATTTCTAAAAGTGTTTCCCAAAGCACCCTCTCATGATATCGTTGAGCAGACAGATTACTCGGTTGAGAGCTATGATGGCGTACAAATACTCCTTCGCCGGTATGCAACACCAAAGGTCCTGAGAGCCGAAGAACCACAACCTTCAATTCTAGTGATTCATGGCGGTGGCTTTGTCTCGGGTACTGTGGAAATATGTGGGGGAACCAATGCCGCTATAGCGCTCGAAATTGAAAGGCCAGTGTTCGCGGTTGACTATCGCCTTGCACCTGAGCATCCCTATCCTGCAGCTGTGGAGGATAGCTTTGCGAGTCTCAAGTATCTCATAGATCACGCAAAAGAGCTAAATATCGACCCATCCCGGATATGCGTGAAAGGCAATAGTGCTGGCGGAGGTATAGCTGTCGGTACTGTGCTCATGGCCAGGGACAGGGAGCTCGATCCACCAGTTGCAAAGCTAATGGCCATATATCCTGAGCTTGACGACAGAACCTGCCATCCTCCTGATACCGGGTTTCTTAAGCTCGCTACTTGGACTTCGCAACACAATCAGCTCGCATGGAAGGCTTATGTTGGTGAAGACAAGGCTGGGAAGCCCGACGCAGATGTTTCACCCTATGCAGCACCAGCGAGGTCTCGGAACTACAAGGGACTACCATCTACATATGTGGACGTCGGAACTCTTGACTTATTCAGGGATGAAGATCTTGAGTTTGTGAGAAGACTATTGGAAGACGATGTTGAGGTCGAGTTTCATCTCTGGCCTGGAGTGCCGCATGTATTTGAGTTCCTTGCGCCTGGTACAAGATGGCACCAGCGTGCTAAAGAAGCACAAAACGACGCCTTAAGAAGGGTTTGAGGAAAGATGGAGGAAAGATACATAGAGATAATTAAATGCTCCTTCAATTCTGTCAATTTCAGCCATCTAGTCTAACCAGTGCGCATTGGCATCAATGTTTCCCTAGAAAGCTGATAAGAAGCTCTGATATTTTCTCCGGTTGATCCTCAGGAGATAAGTGGCCAGCATCCTCCACAATTATCAGTTCTGATCCAGGAATAGCATTGTGAAGCTTGTGGGCCCAATCAACCACCTGCCACACATCATCGGCACCCCAGATCAACTGCACAGGTAGTTTCTCCAGTTCACCGAGGCGGGGGGCCACTTCTAACGTGTGCTTCGGATCATAGTGTCGAACTTGATGCTCAAACAGACTAGGTTGTCCAATGGGTCCCGAGATATAGTCCAGATATGCATTGAGACTTGACTTCTCAAGCTTGTCTGGGTTCTTGACGGCGGATAGCAGCCATTCTCTGAAGTGAGCTCGATGTTGGTCGCTGTCTGTCTTGATCAGGGCTTCAAGGCCATTCTGCATTTGCTGCTTGGTTCGCTTCGAGGGGTAGCTATCGAAGCTTACGACGTCGATCAGAGTCAGAGACAAAACCCTCTCAAGCGAGAATATAGAGAAGCGCTGTGCGATACCGCCCCCAATATCATGGGCAATGATATGAGTCTTATCCAAACCCCAAAGCTCCAAGAGGCCCTCTAGGATTGCGACTTGACCTGTCATTGAAGTGTCAACGGCTGAGTCCCATGGGCGTTCTGAAAGGCCGAAGCCAAGAAGGTCGAAGATATGGACCTTGTAGCCACCATCAACAAGCTTTGGGGCAATGTTGCGCCAAATGAGGGATGAGGACGGTGTTCCGTGAATAAGGACGACTGGCTTTCCAGTGCCGTAAACGCCATAAGCGACACGGCTTCCCTTGATCAGGGCGTTCTCTGTGACGATTGATTTCACCATTGTGGTTGCATGAATTTTTATGCTTGAAAAGCGATTCAATAGCCCTCTCTTGGGTACTTATAGATGTACATTAATAATGCGGAGTATGTCGACTGAAGGGCGTACCTGGAGTCAGATGGCAGATGTGATGGAGCCGACACATCAGTAACCCTTCCAGGCAGGCATCATAGTAAAAGACAAACAGCAAAGCTTGAGCACTCATTCTTCGGCTGATTTTAACCCTGTGTCTCGTTCAATGAAGCGGGCTTTGACTCCTATCAGCATTGACAAGAAATACGAGCGATTCTTGTCTTCGGGAGGCAAGTCGACCTCGATCTTAAACTCCTTCACCAAAGCTGGAACGACTTTAAATACTACCAGCTCTGCTAAATGTCGTCCCGGGCATGATCGAGAGCCGCCGCCCCAGCTGAGATTGACACGTTCCATTGCACGTGCTGCGTCAGGATCTGCAGTCAACCAACGGGCTGGGTTGAACATATCCGAGTCCGACCCAAAGATATCTGAATTCCGATGTAGAGCTACGGGATTGCAGCCCACAGTTGTGTTTGGTGGGAAATGGTAGCCATGGAGTTGAAGACCTTCTGAAGGAACCTTGCGCGGCAATGACATGCTGATGACGGGATACAACCGCTTGGCTTCCTTGATGAGCGATTGCGTCTCTGGTAAGCGTGGTGCAGTGGAGTATTCGGCGGGATTACTTGTCCCAAGGATCTCAAGAGATACTTGTTCCTGAACCTCTTCGTTTGAGCCAAGTAGCGCAAAGATCGAGGTAAGTGTTGATGCCATAGTCTCATGCCCAGCACCGAAGTTGGTCACAGCCATTTTGCGAAGGTAAAGTTCCGTAAAGTTAGGCTTGGTTCTATGCAGCTGGATGAGATCAGCTAGGAGATCTTTGCGATTATCTTTATTGAGCTTGGACTTCGTGGCTGCGTTGACACGTCTTGAAACTCTTTTACCGACATCCTATGCAAATCAGCACCGCAACATTTTACGATATCAACGAGATTATCTCACCGGAAAGAATGGCCGGAAGTCCTTTGGCGGCTGGAAGTTTACGCCCCAAATCGTACTGAAGAGTCGCCCGATCGACTTGTGTAAGAACTCCAACTTAGCGGCCATCGGGAACAAACCAAAGACACTCTTTCGTCTCCATCCATGGTATGCGTGAGCACCAGAGCCATTATCAGTACCATTCTTTAGCATTCCTGGCGACCAGGATAGTACGACAGCACCAAGGCATTCGACGGCGATGATGTGCATCCACTCGTTGAGTTCAATTCGAGCGCCGTTCAATGTCTTTAGCTTGGCGACAGAGCGTGCAAGAACCTCATCAATTGCAGCCTCGTACTGAACCAGATTGGAGGTCTGGTACACAGGCCCAATGAGTCGGCGCTGAAGACGGTAGCGTCTCACATCTCGCTCTGATAGAAGATCGAGATTATCTTGGAATTCGGGATTGAGATGCCAGTCAATGTGAGGTTTGCTCAAGGCAGTTGCCACTGTACATGGATGTCAGTTCCCGGTTTGCTACTTTATGTGAATAATGTGGTATTACAGTAAAAGTCGGACTTTTCATAGCCACTCCCACTACCTGGTGAAACTGTCAGCCGACAGTCGTGCATGAGGTGAGAAACGAACTGTAAAGAGCATGAAAAGCCTCTTTGCTATTGAACCATACTTCATTAGGACCAACACGCACAACAGGCCCGTATTTTCTATGGAGCGTCTTCCCAAGATATGCCATACGCCCCATTCGAGCATTATATGCATGCCAGGAGCTTGAAATCGCTGCCAGTCTTGGTCCAGGAACACAGGCCAGAGGATGGAAGGATACCCTGTAGATGGCGATGGTGATCGTCAAGATGAATAACGAGAAAAATATTCGCGAGAGGACCTGGGCCAAGAAACTGCCGAGCGATTGGACCCCGGTGAAAAAATAAGAGAAAGGCATTATGTTAAGGCCGAATCATCACAACGGGCGAGACTGACAAGATCTAATGTGACACCATTCAGTTGGAAGGTCAAATTTTGCAGGTGTAAAAAGCTGAGCGTCAAAGAGGTGATCCCCACATTCTCAGCCATAGTAACCTCGACACTCTCATTACCAACAAATCATTTGACCCTTAAATTAAAGAAAGATTAATTATTCTATTAAAATTTGTCTCTGTTGATAACCAGTCTGTTCGAGACTCTCTACGCTGTATTCCATGCATCAGATCCCTGCATTGGGTGCTCGTTGCTTCTTAGCAAACTCTATTCAACTTCACTCTTGGGCTTCCTTGGCCTTTTGTTTCTTCTCTTCTTTCACTCTCAACTCCTCGCGCCATTTAACTCCACGTACCATGACAGTGATCAAAATAGGACACCCTAGGACATAGAGTCCTCCAACGAGGGTGAAAGCCCAGCCAGTACCCATCGCATCAATCATGGGCACAATTGCTGCACTGGCTCCCGCCCCAACCAAGCAGCGCGTCAGGTTATTCGCAGCGCTTGCCGTGCCAGCCTTCCTGGGATGGATGTCAATCAGCAGCGAATTGACTGTATTATTAAAGCCAACGACTCCTACGCCCAAGATTCCACTCAGCACGCACGGGACAGCAATATGAGCCCGGGCGTGAACGGCCCATCCCCAACAGACGAGCGTAGCAGCTGCGAGCATCAGGAGAGGAAAGCCGATTTCCAGACGAGCACGCTCAATTGGAAAACCGGATAGGTCTTGCTGCTTACTTCGCTCGTATGGGATGCCCTGTTTCTCGCAATGCCGCTTGAAGTTGCGATTTGTAAAAGCACCCACGATGAATGCTGCAATGACTGATCCAGCTGCCATGGGGAGGAAGGTTAGTCCAATCTCAAGTTCGTTGTAGCCATATATCTCCTTGAACAGAGTGGGCATGGCGGTGGCTATGCAGTAGAACCCTGCGAAGCAGATACTGCTGAAGCCGAGAAGGAAACCAGTTTCTTTCTCAAACAACATCAAAATCGAGTCGAGGACATTGGGAAACTTGAACTTGAACTTCTTGACGGTTGAAGCTCGCGAACCTTGCCGGCTCAACCCATTCTTCTCTGACTCAGACCGCTTCCGTCGGGATACAAGAATCTGCCATACTGAACGGTACACCAAAGGCGCTTTGATACTGCCGTCTCCGACGATCTCACGGCATGTTTCTGGGTAAAGCAAAGCGAGAAGAACGATGGTCACACCGGCAAAGATGGCGAGAAACCAGAAAATTGATCTCCAGCCAAGAAACTCTGCGAGCACGCCACCTATAATTGGACCTAGCGATGGACCCAGCACAGATGGAACAGCTGTCAGACCAATGTACTGACCTCTTTCGGCTGAGGTGACAACGTCAGCCACAACAGCGAAGCATAGCGCAACAGTGCTAGCAGATCCAGCAGATTGAAGACATCGAAGACCCAGCAGAGCACCATAGCTAGGAGCCAGAGCGAGACCAATGTTGGCTGCTATGTAAATGGTAAAGCATACGAGGTACGCAGGTCTTCTTCCACCGCTGTCAGCTAGTGAGCCAATGAACATGGGTGTTATACCCTGGAAGATCATGTAAGTCGTGACAGTAAGGTTGATCTGGGATGTGGTCACGCCCAAGTCGTTGGCTATAGCTGGTAGGGCAGGGAAGTATATCTGGGCTGTCATTGGTGAAAAGATGGCTGTCGAAGCAGCAGCCAGAACAATGAGACGCTTCTGCCATAGTGAGAAGCTTGAATAAGGAGCATCTGGGATTTCAATTTCCGTATTGGGTTGTTTTTCGGGATCTTGGTCTGATACGCGAGTGTGAGTACTCTCGCTATCGCCAATATGGTCGTCGTCTTGTTGCGGTGCACTCATCTTCCAATAACTCTTGAAGTTTTACTGAAGAGAAAAAACAATGTCATTTTCGTCATTGAAAGAACGAAGAATCGGTGACATCAAGAATAAATAAATAACGATCTGAGAAGCAGGGTAGAATGCTAGAATTCGATTCTGTTTGGATCGCAAGTGTTAGAATCCACATCTTTCGGTGCCGACTCGGCACCAGGCGTTGAGGGTGTGCTCTGCAGCAAATCAACCACTACTTTGTAGTATAACTTGCCTTACGATTGGTCAAAGAAATCGACCTGGAGACTCGCTAATGGAGATTGACGATATTATTTCCGGTATAAATTGTGTCAGTTGGCGGCTGGTTGTAAGACGGCACTCTTCTCCGACTCCGACTACGGGATGACTCAACTTGTTGGACAAGTATCGGGGCTGGAGTTCATTTAGAAGTTTGAACTGTCGAGAAAAAGTAGAAACACAGGATCGTATTCCTGGAATTCCCAGACGGTGGACAAGCTTGAAGTCATACATGTTCTTCACCGTGCTGGGTCGATGCAGGCGGTGTAGCAAGCTGATCGAATCACTATCTTACCTTTCTACGAAGCCAATTCTTCAGCCTGTTTCAAGTCGATAATGGTTCTATGCATCTTGATGATGTTTCAAGCAACGTGACCTGGCACTGCATTGGAGTTAGGCACGAGTGATGCACGCCATACCTAGCCTAGGTCTAAGTTCTAAGCGTGACCATTGCAACAATCCCGAGGGTTAAAGCATGTCACGAAGCTTCACGAGTATGTTAAATAGGCCTTGATGTCCATTCGAAGACGCAAGATCCTTTAAGCTTTCAAAATCTAAGAAAGCTGAGATGTTGGTGATCTGAACCTCTCCAAGAGAGGCAAAGCTTCTAACTACTATCCTGAAAAGTACAAGATGTAGGTAATTTCAGTAAGATTTAGTAAAATTCACGATAGAGTTAGAGGGCCTCTGGACTATAGTCTCGTCTTTGACATCTTGGTTGACTGTTAGAAGTCTCATTCTCCCTGGTGCCCCATTCTTGATGATCGCAGGGCTCCACCTTGATAAGCCAGATGGTGTTGAGAGTACGTTCATAATCAGATACGGCATGATTCTCAGAACCTGTGACTTCGATCGATACGGGGGAAAGGAATTCAATCGTAGGATACAGAATTTTGAGGTCTCGAGGTTTGTGGTGAAGCTTCATGTTGATGCTGAGGCATATCGTCAATTATTGTTAGTAATTGCCCGCGGGAAACTGTCGGCGCTAGAACTTGAGCCCGCCGCGGAAACCACCTTGACTATCTATCTATACTCAAATTGTAAGGTCTTCATCACTGCAAATGCCTCTCATCAGTGAAATAATACCTCAGGCCCGTGGTTCAGCTAAGCAGAAGAAGTATAAAGTCGAGCAGACGCTTCTCAGTGTGCTCGACATCACTCCCCGCACTCCTGGATTTGCCCCACGTTGAACACATTGATCATTGAGCCAAAGCAACTCAGACAGCTCTTCAAGATGGACTATTCACTGGAGAATCATAAGGCTTACATCGGAAAGCACGTCTCAGAGCTTCCTACACCATCCCTGGTTGTCAATCTGCCTGTTCTCACGACGAATGTCGAGACGTTACATCGCGATGTTGAGAAGCTCGGTATTGGCTTCAGACCTCATGTCAAGACTTTGAAGGTATGTTGCGCCTATAAACTTTGACCTATTATGAACTGATCCGATGTTCTGCAGTCTCTTGAGGTGACACGATTAATGATGGCGGATGGGAAATACAGAGGAATCATTGCCTCCACCATCCCTGAGATCCAAGGTGCTTTACCCCTGGTGAGGGAGGGCATCTTGGAAGAGGTGAGTTTCACCGAAGATTTATGAAGATGAGAAGTACTGAATATTCCGCAGTGTCTGTACGGTCTACCTGTCTATCCTGGTATCCTGCCAAGGTTGATTGAGTTGCGAAAATCACTACGTATCATGCTCATGGTCGACAATGAGCAACAGGTTGATTTTCTCGAAGAGTCGGCTTCAAGCAAGCAGCCCTGGGATGTCTTTATCAAGCTCGATGTGGGATCGCGCCGGGCAGGCGTTGAGGCCAACAGTGCGGCACTGAACAGCTTGGTAGAGCGCGCACAGAAGTCGCCTGCCATTAGTATCTACGGATTCTACTGTCACGCGGGGCATTCGTATGGAGGTCGATCACGAGACGAGGCTGAGAAGACGCTCAACATAGAAGTGTCGAGCGTCTTAGCTGCGGCTAAGCTTCTGCCCTCTGATCGCCAGCTTGTCATCTCCGTCGGCAGCACACCAACAGCGCATGTCGTCGAAAGCCTCAAGGCATCGATGCCAGAGAACATCAAGCTGGAGCTCCACGCAGGCAACTTCCCTTGCAACGATCTCCAGCAAGTGTCAACTGGCCTTGTGACAGAGACACAGCAATCCGTGTCTGTAGCCGCTGAAGTATGTAGCGTGTACCCGGAGAGGAACGAAGCGCTCGTCAACGCAGGTGTGATCGCGCTGTCGCGTGAGGCCAGCGCCTTCAGCGGATTCGGCCGAGTGGTGGGCAGTCCGGCGTGGGGTGTGGTCCGATTGTCGCAGGAGCATGGGATCCTTGGGACGAGCGAGGGACGAAAGGTCCATGAGGATTTCAAGGTCGGACAAAAGGTTCAGCTGTGGTGCAATCACGCTTGTATAGCCGCGGCTGCGTTTTACGTGTATTATGTTGTTGATGAGCAGGGCATTGTGATGGACACATGGATTCCTTGGAAGGGGTGGTAGGGGTTCTAGGGAATAAGCAAGTCATCAATTAATCGATTGTCACTGAAACTTGATCAGCATCAGCAAAGAATTGACTCTTCTGATTCGCTCCCCCAGCTCCTGTTCCTGACTCCAATTTCTCCCGAGCCAAGGGAAATCTTGCTTCCTTGTTGAAGGAGAGCGTCCAAGTGGGTCTCGAGCCGCATACGTCATCGGCGGATTGCGGAAGCTCAGGTTCAAAAGGTGCGGGCTTCATGATCTGCGTCACATGAAGAGCCATCTTCTCTCCTCCATCTTTTCCTCGGTCACGATACTCTTTGGTTCCTCTCGATCAAATTTGCCCTTTGCGACAAACACAACAGGATAATACATCCCCAGCAACTCAAGTCTACTCTCTTATCCCCTCTCTACCCCACCTTACCATCAGTAAGTATACACGTCACTGTAGCGTATTTGTGCCCAACATCAGATCACTAACTTTATCACAGTGTCTTACGCCGACGTTGCTGCCAGTGGCCCCAAGCAGAGCCCCGAGGAGGTGAGTTACTTTCCATCCAGCATCATGTCTCTGCGACCCCTCTTGCTAACTCCTCCAGGCTGCTGCCCCTCAACCTCCTCAGGTCATCACTGACGAGTCCGCCTCCACCGCCTCTTTGGTCGATGTTGATATGCCTAGCGTGCACACTGTCCCCAACGACTTCCTTGAGCAGGAGATCAAGACAGAGACCCAGGCTGCTCGCGTAGAGCGAGAAGAGGAGGCCCGCGAGGAGAAGCGAAAGCGTGACGAGGCTGCCGCCAAGGCCAAAAGCGCCGACAACTGGCTCATCCAACAATTCTCTCGCCTGTCAGACGGAAGTGCTACCGGCCTCGTTATTGCCAACTTTGCTACCGTCGTTGGTCTGGGAGCATACCTTGGCTACAAGGGTTGGGGTCTCTATGAGAAGGGCAAGCTTGACTGGAAGGCCGTCACTCTCGGTGCTGGTATTCTCGCTGGTGTGACAGCTGCCGAGGGTGCTGTTGGACGATATCTGTACAAGGGCAAGAAGGGCGGCAACTAAGAGTCGAACGGCGATGATACCCTAAAACGACGCAAGTGCCGATGTACCTGACGGGCCACGGTCTTGAGGCCTGAAGCATCTAAACAGGCAAATTCTTGCCTTGTAATTGTTGAACGCTGAAAGGAACGAGCTTTGTTGATGGATGATATGATATAGTTTTTTGTTTTACTGCATTTTCACTTTGTTTCATAATTCTCTACTCCGGCTGAAACCAGGCTACTACTCATCTCTTACGTTTAGAGGTATAAGAATTGATACCTATTTTCTACAATCCCATTCTCAAATCTTAGCAAATTTGTTTGGAGATACGAAAAACCAAAGCATTGAGATGTGATCGTGTCTATTAATTTCGTGGCTTCTGTCCCTTCTCATCATACAGCATTGGTACAGATGGACACTCGCCCATATCAAGATCCTAAATATTTTACAAAATGTTGTTCTTCTCCCTAACAGCGCCAATATTTTACACCTTCTACTGCTTCTTCTCCGCCTTCTTCTTAGCTTCCCTCTCCTGCTCAATAATCTTGATCTCAGCATTGGCAGCAGTAGCATCATGCGCTTGTGAAGGCTCAACGAAAACCTCCTTTACAGGGACCTCGGACTTGTGCATATCCTGCCACAACTCTGGGTTATGCGGCTTCTCTATGGGGGTAGCGACATCCTGAACCTTTCGCGATCCGTTACCGAGGGTTTCCTTCTCGGCTTCGTTGGAAGTCGCTCGGGGAGGAGCTTTTTGATCGAGTTCAGCTGCGGCAGAGGAATCTCCGGGGAGAGACTTGGGGTCGGTAGCGGGTGCCTTGTCGGTAGCAGGAGCCTTGCGAGCGTCGGGGGCGGGCTGCTCATCGCCAAAATCGGGAGTGGGAGCACCTTCCTCGTCATCGGCGAGCTCGGCGCCGTAGATTTCTGGGTATTTCTTAAAGCACTCTTGCATGCCCCTGTTACTGAGTTAGCAACCTATGAAACAAGGCCATGGTCCGATATGACGTACTGGAACTTCTCGATACAGTCCATACCCTTGGGCTCCTCGGTCGAGTACACAAAGCAGCTGAACGCAGTCTTGAACTCCTCGCCGCAGGGGCCGTCGGCCATACCACCCAAGCAAGGGCAATCCCAGTTGATCTCTCCAGTCTCGGGGTTAAAAGCGCCTTGCTGGTCGGCCTCCTCTTCCAAGGCAGCAGGTGATCCATCGGCGGCAGCGGCTTGAGTGTTGGACTGTTGAGGCTTGGAGGGCTTTGATGAGTCGGCGGGCTTCTCGCTCTTGGCCTTGATCTGTTTGCGCTTCTCCTCGAGGACAGAGTCGACGGTGGGGAGGTCATCGTCGGAAAAGGCAGCGGGTGCGGGAACCGTTTTTGCTGTTCTATATTAGTCGCATAATCTCGAATTCTGAGCATCATTGCAACGCACAGATAGCCTCATCAGCGAAGATGGGACTTGTGTTATAGTAATAGACAGCACCGAAAGCCAGACCCAGTCGTGCCACAGAGCTCTTCCATGATCGGGACTTGTCGGCGGGAGTAGCTGTCGAGTTAAATCGTCGAGGGGCTGCGCGGACCGTGTTCGAGCGCAGGCTGGCAATTACAGGCCTCGAGGCCGATCGCATGGTGGTACGATACATTTTGAATTACAGGAGTTAACAAAGGAGCGAAGGTCAATGCAGAAAATCAAGAATACAAGAGGAATTGGTCAGCAACGGTGGAGCATCGAAATCTTGGAGTATGATGCTTGGAAATACTTGGCCCTGGTCTCCGAGATGCCGGCCGGTTGCGTGAAAAAAGTGTAACCGTAATTTAACCGTCCGTGCTCTTTATCTGATAACAGCCTTATCGCACCATGACGTTCCCCCACCATCGGCTTCTACCTAACCATTGGATCCAGGCAGTGCGCATTCATTCCTGATCATATGAGCTGCTTCTATACCCTCATAGGGCTTAACGTGCAGGCTGCGTCTAGATCTCTTTTTGACTTTCGACCTAGATTGTGGCTGTTACAGTAGACCAAAGTTTGTTTTGTCAAACAAGTTGGTTCAAGTGATCAGCAGAAGACAAAGGAAAGAAAGGGAGAAAGCTGTCCACAGGAATCGAGGGGAAGTTTCTTGAGCTAGACATTGTCTCGCCATTTCTCAGGGAGAGGAAAAAGCAAAATCATTCTTACCTAACAACTTGCGAATATCACGCAAGGGACAAAACGATTTAGATCGCATCTACTTATCGTTTTCTTCCCATTGCAAGTCGCATACTAACCAAAGATATCGTCAATCATGGCGTCCAAATCTTTCGAATGGCGTCCAGCAAAGCTGCTCCAGGACTATAACATAGGTCAGGACTTTGCGCTGCTCATTCTAAACCAGCCGTTGAAGAACGGCGTCAATTTGCGCAAGCTCTGGAAGAACTGTACGTAGCTTGACATGCTGTTCTTGCGGTCCCAGTGCCTAACGTCCATTTCACAGCTTCTGTGAGAGTCGCCGCCGATGGTGGAGCGAATCGTCTACACAAGCTGTCGTCTTTCCACGGGAAATACGTACGTTCTCGTGGACGATAATGTTAAATGGTTGCTAATCCTATAGTCTAACCTTCAACTCATCATTGGCGACCTCGATTCTCTCACCCCACAGGTCCGCGATTTCTACTCGTCGCAACCCTCCCCTGCGACAGTCATCCACGACGCTGATCAGATGTCGACCGACTTTGCAAAGGCTATCAACTGGATTCGCAAAGAATATCCCGAAGGCATCGACATCGTCGCACTTGGAGGCATTGGGGGCCGAGTCGACCAGGGTGTTTCTCAGCTTCACCACCTGTACCTCTTCCAAAACGACCCCGATTATGCGACCGGTCGACTGTTTCTACTTTCCGGCTCAAGTTTGACATTCCTGCTCAAGGCTGGTAGTCATAAGATCCAGGTTCGAGAGGAGGGAGAGGAAGATGCCTTCGGCAAGCATGTTGGTATCATTCCTCTCAAAGAGGCTGCCAACATCACGACAAAGGGCTTCGAGTGGGATGTCGAGAACTGGCATACTGAGATTGGTGGCAAGTTGAGTACTAGCAATCATATCCTGCCCGAGTCTCAGGTCGTTTCAGTGACGACGGACAAGGATGTGCTGTTCACAGTAGCACTCAAAGAAGGCGACGGCGATGACGAATAGCATAGTGCTTCAACGAAGAACATGTTGACTTGGCGTGGTATGATACAAGCAAAAAGACAACACAAGACACTCAAAAACTCCATGCGCCGCGCTGATACCCCTAAGCGTACATTTCTGTGACATTCCTCTTCCAAATACCTGAGGCCCAGTTCGGGTTCTTTTCTACCGCAAGAAATGGAGCACCAGCCAACAAAACAGGAAGAATATCAAGACGCCCGCGAAGAAGATCCATTTGTCCTCCTTTGCCCGTCGTTCTACCATACGGATGGTATCACCGCTTACGCCAAGGGTGTTGGCGACGTTGTACAGTCGCTTCTGGGTGCTCTTGAGCATCTCCCGTTGTTGGCCTAGATCGCCCAGTACAGCCTGTCCGCGCGCAATGTAGTCATCTAACGCTTGGTTTGTGTTTGCGAAGAAGTTCTGCTCCCTGAATGCGTGTGCCTCGCGCATCTCGTCTGGTGAGCCGGTTGTCAAGGCGCTGGCTTGAGGCGGGTGTCGAGGCTGGAACGCAGAGTGCGTGTTTGTTGTTGTAGCGTTCGCATAAGGGTTCTCGGGTGTAGCATTATACGGTCTTCGGCCAAGAAGTTCTGTGCGATTTGCCTGGTGTTGGGCGTCATCACGAACTTTCTTCAGCGAATCGACTTGAGTTCGAAAGTCAGAGAGATCTTCGCGGAACCTCTTTACTCTCTCAAAGCCCTCTTCTTGCTTCTTGGGAACAATCTCCTGACGGGCGAGGGATTGGTATTCATCGAGGGTCTTGGTGAAGGAAGCGATTGAGGCGGACACGTTGCCAATTTCGGAGGGAGATGCTTGAGGTTTGCTGTTGAGGTTGGAGAGCTCTGCGCGGAGAGACTTGCTTTGCCGCAAGGCGGAGTTGTAGGCGATGTTCTAAGTTTAGGAGTCAGCAAATATATAGTTGAATGTTTATTCAATCTAGCTTACCATGGCGGCGGACTTGAGAGAAGAAGCTTGAGGATGTCGAGCAATGCAACGACAACTTTCATCATGATTTCTAGGTGTTCGGATACATGATAAGGCCAGATCTCGCGGAACGGATTAATGACACACCGTCTAAGACAGCCCAAAGCAGGCTACCCTGCATCCTCCGGGCATTCATCTGGAGTAAGGGGGCAAGACTTAGATCAGAAAGTTTTGGATTATTTTTCTATGATTTTAATCTTATGCGCTTCTTATAATTTCTTCTTAATAAACTCTATGCCCATAAGCTCTCGCTGTTCCATGGCAGGAATGCATTGGCGTTTTCACTTAAAGTTAGCCACAGCCTTGGTCTTAACATGCCACTGTTTTGCAAAATACAAAATTGAACTTGGTCTCAGAACATGATTTTAACTATTTTTGCAGAAATGAAAATAGGGAAACAATAATGACTTTCTTTCATTTCGATTACAAGGCTTATGAGCATGTTCTCCCGCCTAAGCTGAGCCTGGTGATAGTTCAATTCTCTTAATCCAATTCGTTGGCCTCCCCATAGTGACAATCGCTTTTCTGTTGGCCAAGTCCATGTTTATGGTGAAAAGTGTTGCTTTGCCGTTTCCGGGCGAGAATTGATCGCGGTTGATTGCTGTTGGATACCCTTGCTCATCTTTGAAGAAGTCAAAGAATGAAGAATGGTTGATGGTTGAAGTCGTCAATCTCTCATCAAGAAGCTGGGCGATGCGCTTGATGCGGTCCGTAGAATCTGGTATCCAGCCGGGTTCATCTACTCCGGGATGGTCAAGCAGTAGATGGTTCGTATGAATAAGTATTCCGTTGCCGTCAAAGTTGATCTCCTTGATCCCTATGCTGGTGCATTCTAAGCCTATAGCTTCAGAAGGATCTGACACGAGAATATGACCACTTCCAGCCGTACCCAGTTCATAAAGCTTATCGGCTGCTTCGCGAGCCGAATGCGACTCTAGAGCTGTTCGTAGGGCGAGATGGATGGGAAGTTTGGTGTTATCAACGCCCCGAGCTCGGATAGCGTTTAGACAGGTTCCTACACCAGAAGAGTTGATGCCAATCTTGCCAATTACACCCCCTTCAGTCACCATGGAGATATCAGGTATATCTGTGCCAGGCTGGGAGATGTGGCAGATGAAGAGATTAGGTGCCTGTTCAGGCTGCCAATCCCAGTTCTGCGCAAGGAGAACCTCCCCGTTAGGCTGACGATACGCAGCACTCGTGCAGCCATCGGTCTGGATAGGTGCACTCGGGACTCGGGTATATAAGCCGAATGTGATCTCTGTTCGAACATTGAGAGCAACGATATCAACTAGCTCGAAGCCAGCGCCGTCTGCTAAGCCTTGAAGCTCCTCGACATAGCGTGGAGATAGTTTCCGCAGAGGTTGGATGTATTGTTGAGCCTCTTGACGTACTGCTTCCCAGTTCATGGCGCATGATTCTTGGAACAGATCTTTGTAAAAGGCGATGGACCCAACAACCCTATCTTTCGCAGCTGTGCCATGTCGATGGCCAATCTGTATATGAACAATACGTCAGTCTCTTAGCTCAGATTAGGGTATTCCAAGAATGAAGTTCTTTACCTCATAAGGCGTGCCAGAGCAATGTACTTCTAGCATGATGAGTTATTTACAGAGAATGAATTGGCAGTGTCGGAGTCAGAAGTGAGCCCGCTCCCTTACCCCAACATGAGGATTATATAACCATCAATGCCGCGGTTCATCAAGAGTGGGGGTTAGCTCAAGTAATATTACAGATATCCTGGAGATCCCTTGACGTATTCGATCACTCTTTCTAGCACAGCATTGCATATGGAGTTGACGTGATTGTCGTGATTTTGCAAGGCTGATCTTTTGAGATGTGTATGAGTGTACTCCCATGGATGCACCGCAACATAGTCGAACTTAGTAATTGCATACCAGAAGATTGCTGGCAAACTAAATTCAAAGCCTTCGTATTATCACAGGTTGGAGCATTAGATGTCAACTTCAGAGTTCGGAGGGTTATAGCCGGTTTGGCTCGGCCGAGTCTGCCGATAACAGGCACTTTGGGTGGACACCACAAAGCTAATGATAAATCATGATTGGAGGTCTGATGAACCTCTTATTAATCCCGGTATCCATCTCCGTTGTATAGCTTCGGATGCGACCCGACTTCAAAAATAGCCAAACCTGAAAATCTCAGTAACAACAATACCGAGCCTCCTCTATTAGACTTATCGAGGTTTGAAGACATATAATCAAGATGGGAGACTTGCCACATTTGAGTGATCATATCGGGAAGTTCAGCTTATCAACTATTCACCCGGCTGATCCAGCTTACACTCCGCTTCTCTATCGGCTGCGCGAAGAAACCTTCCAGAACCGAACAACACAAGTCAGACATGGGTCATATCTCAGACGCTTTACTCGAGATACTTCTTTCAATATAGCTGAAGCTATCAAGGAAAACTCTGGGATCGATCTCAACAATTTCATGCGCCGGTATGGATTGACTGGCTGCGTTGTCGTTCAGAATGGAACCATAAAACTCGAAGAATACAGGCACGGAAACTCTCAAGCATCTCGTAACGACGTTCAATCAGTCACAAAGTCGTTTGTTGCAACAGCTCTCGCCATTGCGCAACAAGAAGGAAAACTATCCGTTGACGACCCAGTATCTCGCCATGTCGAAGAACTGAAAGGAACTGCTTGGGCAGACGTGCCACTTCTTGCTCTATCCAGCATGTCTTCAGGGGTAGTTGAACAATCAGAAGAAGAGCGACCCGCAGATGTGCCCAATCCCATGTATGCCACTGAGCTGTATCCCCAAACGGATCCCGAAGCTGTTATCAACTGGCTCAAGACGTCGAGGAAAGTGGCTGAGCCTTGGGAAGAGTTTCACTACTACAACCCAAACTATTACGTGCTGTCGACGGCGATCTCACGTGCAACTGGAGAGCCTCTGAATGAATACATCTCGCGCACGATATGGGATCCTGCTGGAATGCAATACGATGGATACATACGAACAACAGGCGCAGGACATGTGGACGGACACGGAGGTCTCTCGATAACTTTGACAGATATGGCACGATTCGGATGTTTTATTCTTGAAAGTCTTAGAGACGGAGGCAAAGGCCCCAATGTGCCACCCGGTTGGTTCCAAGACATTTCTGATGCCAAGAATAGTGTTGGGGCCAGAGCTCTTCAACCGGATAACTTTGTCTCCAACTTTGGCTACGAAAGTGGCTGGTGGACGACAGGCAGGGGGGATAAGGAGTATAAAATGGGAGACGATGGTGCGTTTGCGGCGATTGGTATGTATGGCCAGTCTATTTACGTAGTTCCAAAGTTGGACGCCGTGATCGCTATTCAATCTGGGTACCCGGAGCATGAGCTGGACTTATTCACGAAAAACGCAGAATTGGCGACTGCGATACTCAGGGCACTGAGGGAACGTTGATATGCTACAAAAGTTAGACACAACTAAGTTTATTCCATTGAAGCATCTCACACTTTGCCTTTAGTATATTGTCTCTTAAACATCATAAGGTTTATGTTTCACAACAGTAGCCTATCAGAGTTGAGCAGCGTGATAGAATATCACGACCGTTTAGCTTTTTACTTCAGTTTAGGATCTGCCAGCCAGGGTTAAATTTCCTGTTAAGCTCTTCTCGTTGGCTCCTATGCTATTCGGAGTCCTCAAGATGTTTATGACTTATTGCTTTTGCCGGACCATAAGACAATTTTGATCGGCTTTCTAAAAGGTTAAACCAGTTCATGTCGTAGTAAAAGGTTTCAGGAGTGACTATAAGAGACACTCTTTAAACATCTGAGCTGAGAAATTCCTTCTTTCTTTATAATCTCTCAGGGAACCCCAAACCTAAGTCAAGTGAAGTGTACAATAGACAATTTGTACAACTACTGCTCTTATTCTTTTTTCTTTTTTCTTTGTTCTCTATATCCTTTTGTTTCTAAAATAAAGAGACATCTCCAAAGAACAACCCGAGCTTGTATCTCCAAGTCTTCACCATTCCCCCGTCGCCCAACATGCAACTTGGCAAGCCTTGGTGCAGCACATGCTGCATCAACTTCAATACTTTTGAGGAGCACCGGGAACACTCCAAGTTAGAAGAACAGTAAGTTCTATATCTTCTCCTCGCTATATCACATACGCTAACCAGCCTTTAGTGTTTTCAAGATCCAAATTCGACATAGTGGCCCATCTATTCCTCGTTATGTCATGGAGAAAGCCATGGAAAACTGGGATCGAGTCAAGGAATCATGGAATGAGCCATCGGAAGAAATTGCTGGAGATGGGTCAGAGGTCTGTGAGGTAGAGACTCCAGAATTTAACGAAGAACTCTGTCTCTTTTGCCGCCACACGAGCTCGACCTTTGACGAGAACATGGCTCACATGAGGGCATGCCATAGTTTCACCATCCCAACCCAGAAAAGTCAGGACATTGAGCCTATAGCTGTTGTAAGATGTCTTCATAGCATCATATTCGACTGCTACGAATGTATATCTTGCGGCAAGCAACGCCGCACGTTGGAAGGGATTCAACACCACATGGTTGCCAAGAACCACTGCCATTTCCAGATGACATGCGAGATTTCGAGATTCTGTAAGGAGGAAGAAAGCTTCGACGCTCAAGAAACTCAAGAAAGTCATGATGCTCAGCTTGTACGACCAACTCAGGCTTCTCACAACGACGGGACTATCATTCAGCGTCCCCGGCTGCAACGCATGCCGAAGTTTCTAGGATGTGAGAACACCAGAGATGGCCATCATATGTACAAAGAGAAGCAATGAGAATGCTGTGTTTTTGGTAACTAGCACCCAACTGTCACCAAGATGGAAAGAATGGCAGAGGATCATGCCGAGGTGAATCAACGACAACATATAGCTGTCCACGAAATTGCCGGGGATTTCTAACGTTCATTCTGAGATAACTTCCTTGCTGAGAGAGCAACGAACAGACGATCTTATGGCTCATCTGAATGACATCGGTAAACTCTGGGAAGAAGAGCTGCAGAATATACAGTTGTGATTTAAAGCAAATGTTGGATTGGACAGAGTTTATTATTGATTTACTCGACTACTTAGTTTCCTGTTTTAATTTACATATATCTTGTGATCTTGTCGTTTTAAGAATACCTATACTGCATCTATACATGAAAAACCGCTATCCACTTTATTTATCACTATGGCGTCTCGGCGGAGATCTTCTCTATTTCCTTATGAGAGCGTCAAATGAAAATTTACACATTTCGCGGTCAGGCATAGTATGAAACCAAGGTCATTTTTGTCGGCACTTTGATTTGTGAAGGACACAAATTAACTAAAGAATAAAAGGAATAAAGCGAGCTGTTCTTGCATGCCAACTCTCCCATTCCTTTCCGAAGGCCCTCTTCAGCATCTTCTCCTCTTCAGATACTCTGGTCCAAATTCCAAACATGATACCCGATATAGTGAAAGGAAGTAATCTTATAGCCCAGGAACAGAAGGTCTCATAGGTATTGGGAGGAACCCAGCAGCTCAGAACACCATCCAGTCTACCAAGCAGCGCCACGTTGAATATCATGAGAATAGCAAGTCCAGTATAACTTGGGTGTTGGAGATATTGATAAATACCGGTAGTTTTCAATCGATCCGGCTCCTTCAGAGCAAATGTGAAGTTTTTGCCCAGTGATGCATACGGTACCAAACGCAGAGGAACACCGGCACAGAAGACTAGAGCTAGAGGAATCGTAGTTGCAGCAGACCATGTAATCAGGTCTGGATTGAGCCCATTTGCAATTCCATGATGAACGAGAGATGGAGGGATATTGGGGTAGCGCAAAGCTAGGCTAGTAGTGTGTAGTGATAATAGCCCAAGAGGGGCCAAGACGACCTTTGTGGTGTGTTTTCTCGTCAAGAATAGCCACCGAACTGAGTCGCCCGTTGATGGTGATGAATGTTCGCTGGGATTGGGAGGAGATAGAGCCAGGTAGGTTCCGTAGGTTGAACCTAGTATCGCTGCTGCTAGAGAAGTCTGAGATAAGGAGAATTGAAGAGCCATTGTGATCTCAGTGGAAGTCAGGTCTGAACGAGAAATCTGAGCTTGCACTTTTGCGATATATGAGGTTAGAATAGGCTTTCTTCAGCCATCGAAGAGATGCCGATCAATGATACAAAAGCTCAACCGAGGTTTAGTCTAAAACATCGGAAGCTAGCAGTTTCACGTGACACACGTTCGAGTGACGAAAGGCATTGGATCTCGTCGAACTGGTTAGTAAACGCAATGCCGTTGACAGAAGCCTGCGGGAGAGTAGATTACATGGTGTTAGGGTGTTTATGCTCTGTTACGCAGTCATGCAAACATAATTTCGCATCTCGTACTCGGTACACACAAAGCCAAATAGCGTGGCAATCCGAATGTTTGTATGGAGTAAGCCACAGCCACTGGACAGGGGTCTGATCTCAGTTTCTTCTCAGGCGGTAGTTATATGTCAACGCCAAACCCGTTGGCTAACCGCGATGGTAGCGTTTGTTTGACAGTTGACGGATAACAGTAATTATTTGTTGTTATACGAAAAGATTCTAGAAACGGTAGTCATCTGATCGGTAGAAACGGCAGCACAGACGGGTGAGCCTGTTTCAATCAACAGCCCGTATCGTGGCTTTCTAAACGGAGGAGCAGCCACCAATCCAAAGCTGAAGACATCAACTAAAGGGAGCGACTATGACATGATTCTCCACTTGGACTGAGACTTGCGTCCCCAGCTCAACCGCAGATTTGTCGATCGCCGCTTTGTGGCGATTCTAGCATAATCGCCGAGTCTAGACTCTAGACTCTAGACTCACCCTAGCTAAACTCTACCTCCCGGTCTTCGGCGTTTCGCCTCTAGTGGCAAGCCCTAGTAACCCAACTTTCAATGCCCTTCTTCTGTCTTTTGCCAATGGTGAGAATGACCGTTGGGGGATACCGTTGAAGATTCCTTTCGAATGTGCACGCACTGCTGAGAATGGCCAGCCCAGCTCGTGTAAAGGTGCCCAAGAAAAGCATCGTCTCTGAGGCTACTCGGGAGCGCGAGACGTTCAGGTAACGAGGCAATTTCACCCTACAAATATTGAGTTATGTTACTGAGATCTAATTAGATATGACGACTCGCTTTTCACCAATGTGCGCTTCAACGATACTGGATTGCCTGTTCCGAGCAATGAGCTCTCCACGTGTCCCGATGTCATATTGACGGCTCTGGCTCGTCTAGCGGCTTCTCAAACTGGTGCAGCGCGCGCAATGATCTCGTTGTTTGATCAGACTCATCAGTATATCATCGCGGAAGCTTCATCGATAACCCCATTGATTCCAAGCTTGGGACCGGATGGTCACCCGGAAACTCTTTGGCATTGTGGAACTGCAATCCCGCGATCACATAGTGCTTGTGAAAGCACGTTATGTTCCGATGAAATTCAATCAGATGAATCTGGACCAAGGGTCAGCCACGACTTGCCCGTCATTGTAGTTGATGATGTTACCCTCGATCCCGAGTACTCAACAAAACCGTACTGTCGACCTGGAGGCGCCGCAAGATTCTATGCCGCAGTGCCAATTCGCACAGATCGAGGTGTTAACATCGGAGTTATATGCGTAATCCATACCGAACCTTCGTTGCCATGGGAGGATAGACATTCAAGACTTATGAGAGAGCTTTCAAGAGCCGTCACAGAACATCTTGAGACCATCAGCCTGAAGAGCAACCAACGAAGGAGCGAAAGGAAGAGCTGGGGTTTGACAAGTTTTGTTGAAGGGAACACAGCACCTTTGAGCCAGATCTCCTCTACCGGACGAGAGTATGCAGAACATGAGACGAGAGTTGACAGTATGGCCAAGTATCGAAGGCCAAGAATTGACGACTTGCAACAAGCTTTGGGAGGAATGAGTGTCAGAAACTCAACTGCCACAGCCGACTCCCAACCGACGAACGCTCTTCACACCAAAGAGGTTATCATGTGCGATCCTCAGGCCAGATCGAAGTTTGCCCATGATCCAAGTCAGCTCCTCGAGACCCCAAAGCAAATCTTCTCAAAAGCAGCCTCAATTGTCAAGGATTCTATTGAGACTGATGGGTGTTTGTTCCTCAATGCAGACATGCTGGAATTTTCAAGTGCAGGCTCTTCCACAGAATGGATAGACGAGGACCTGGCGACTCGACGACCTTCAACATTCAGTTACAATGAGAGTGAGGATGCCTACACAACTGTTTCTTCTGATGAACGCCTAAGACCCTCTTGCCAGGCACTCGGCTCTTCCGAACATGGGGCAGCTCGTATTGCTCTCCCACAAGCTCTTCTCGCCAGGATGATTCGACAATACCCTAGGGGCCATGTGTTCAACTACGACACCGATGGAAATCTACTCCAAGAAGAACTGCCTGATGATTCGACTCATCATCAACAAAACAACAATGACTGGGGAAGCCTACATAACAGACAAGACCACAGGTTTCGAGTTCAGCAGAAAGAAGCAAGTATTCTCCTTGAAACTTTCCCTGGTGCTCGAAGCATTGCATTCGTTCCTGTCTGGGACCTCAGGAAGAAAAGATGGTCTGCTGGTGGCTTCATTCACACTTACAATATCAAGCGTACCTTTACAGTCGACCTCGATTTGAGTTACCTCAGAGCTCTTGGTATGCTCGCAGCGGCCGAGGCTTTCAAACTGGAAACCCTAGCTGCCGACAAGGCCAAGACTGATGCCCTTGGCTCACTGTCTCATGAGTTGAGATCACCACTTCATGGTGCTGTTCTGAGCGTTGAATTGCTCAATGATACAGAACTGACTATTCCACAACAAAACATTGTTAGAACCATTGAAACATGCTGCCGAACACTGTCAGATACGATCGACCATTTGCTCGAATATTCCAAGGTTAACAAGGCTTTGCCTCAAGAAGCGACTCGAGAGACCCAGGCAGACGGAAGTGGTATCAACAGGTCCTCGTCCATTAGCATAACTTCGAAGCCATCAAGAAAGGTCGTACAGCTAGATGTTCTGGCTGAAGAGGTTCTAGAGAGCGTCTACGCTGGATTCAATTTTCAACAGGTCTCCCTTGCCCAGTCAACTAGCCAAACACCTCGACGACCTGGCCACACATCTATCCGCCGAATGGACACCATGCAAGCTATGGAGGAGCTTCAAGCTCCATCGAAGAAGACAGGGAATCTGTCAACGAAGATCGGAGACGTCGATGTTTTCCTGGTCATCGACTCACGACCATCGTGGGGTTTCTACACCCAGCCTGGTCCCGTGCGTCGAATTATCATGAATCTCTTCGGCAACTCGCTCAAGTACACGCAATGTGGAATCATCAAGGTCTCTTTAGAGCAGACCAGCGCTTTTGGTGCTGATGATAATGACTGCTGGGTAACCATCAAAGTCTCCGACACAGGCGTGGGCATTAGCGAGGACTTTCTGCAAAACGGTTTGTTCAAACCGTTTTCGCAAGAGAATCACTTGTCCCCTGGCACAGGCCTTGGACTTAGTTTCGTAAAGCAGATAACTGCACAGTTTGGAGGCCACATCTCTGTCGACAGCCGAGTTGGCGTCGGTACTACAGTAACAGTGAGACTACCAATGAAGCTCGGCGACGACTGTCATCACAACGTCTGTGAGATTCGACAACGAGAAGAAGAGTTCGACGCGCAGACAGAAAAGCTTCGAGGGCTTCGGGTCAAACTGGTTGATTTCAACAAAGACTCCGTTACAGGAGGCGGTTCCGCACAAAGAACGATTGAATCCCCTGACCAACTTGTGCAGGATATGTGCAAGGAATGGCTAAACATGCAGGTCAACACCACCTCGGAGACACCTTGCTTCATGCCAGACCTTGCAATTTGGTCTGAGGAGGGTTTTGAAAGGCCCAGTGCGCCGCAAGAAGCAGTTCCGGATATTCCAAACATTGTGCTGTGTGCCAATGCTGTTACTGCCCATCAGTATGCGACTGGCACAAAGACAATACCACGCCCCGGGGTTTTCGAGTTCATCTCACAGCCGTAAGTAACATTCCATGATGCACCATATGCCGTGCTCTAGGCTAACCATAAATCAAGACTCGGTCCTCGAAAGCTTGCCAAAGCATGTTCACTAGCCTTGTATCGCTGGACAGTCATGCAAACATCTCCCCAATCACCAACATCAGCATCAACAGAGCCCGAATCTTTGAGCATCGTCACCAGCACTGCTCCTTCACTAACAAACCCAAGCTCACCCTTCCCCGCGAGCGAAGATGAAACTCCAACGCAGCCAAAAAGCTATTTCAGAGCATCTGAGTTCCTTCTCGTTGACGACAATTTTATCAACCTCAAGATCCTCTCCTCATACATGAAGAAGCTCAAACAGCCATATCAAACAGCTTCAGACGGTTTAGAAGCCGTCACAGCCTATGAGGCAGACCCTGGACGATATAGTTGTATCTTGATGGATATCTCGATGCCGGTCATGGATGGGTTTGAAGCAACGAGGAGGATTCGTGCTTTTGAGTCACAACAGCGGTTGAGGCCTGCTCTGATACTTGCTTTGACAGGGCTGGCTTCTGAAGAGGCGCAGAGAGAGGCTACTGTCAGCGGATTGGATTTGTTCTTGACGAAGCCTGTGAGGTTGAAGGAGTTGGGACCCATTTTAAGAGCCAAGGGGGTTTTGGAGGAGGAGTCGAACCTGGGCTGAGTATCATGATCTATAGGAAGAAAAGTAAGGTGCATGGGATCTAAAAGAACTAATTACTACGGGACAAAATAATGGATAGATAGAAAATAATCATATTAATGAGGTAAGCTGAATGTGTTGTGAAGATGGAGAGAGAGATAGGTGGCACCGGTTGACATCATGAGTTATGGTTCGAAAGCTAAGGTTTTTGGTTTAAGAAACAACCTCAAGGTAGATGTGTAGAGTACTATGGGGATGAAGCAACGTTTGAGTAGTACTTCGGAATAGTTCTTAAGCCTACGTATATTATATTCATATTGTAGACGATGGAAGAGTGTCGATAGATGAACCCCCTCTTAACTTCATCGTTCCTACAAGGCCACCCATGATGTCAATGAAGCCCCAAAACGTCTAGACTCGTCTTCTATCATGGACATGGAGTAGCGAGAGATGAGAATTATATATATTAGGTATCAACAAAAAAAGACATGGCAAAGCACGCTTCATCAACCCACCATCAGCTCCATAACCCCTGACAATCCCGTCCTTTCACATAACTATCACCCGTTCGTAGGCAAATGTCCCGCTAAATGCAACGCCTCAAATATGAAAAAAAAACAGAAACAAAAAGCAAGAAAACAGATAGATGTTTTCGCCAAAATAGAACGCCGTGCTATCATATCCGTAACCCTTGGTATCTTCAACACGACCCAATAAGCGCCAGACCATACTCTCTTGGATTTCTTTTGTTATCACCCCTGCCCTGATTGCTGTGGATATGTGTCTTTTGTTTCCTTAGATTGTTGTGTTTGGTGCTGATGCCTCGAGGTTCATGGTCCACCGCCCCCATCCTTGATGCTTGTCACAGGCATCGGTCTATAGATGCCTGAGAGACAAGTCGCAAGGCTCGACATATTACTGCCGGAGGGGAGTTTCCTTAAAACGCTTTACCCAGTGCTGTCGTACGCGGCTGGGCATCTTGCAAAACACCATAGCTTTGCACTCATTGATGAGCACGCCCTCAGAGATCTTAACCTGCAGATCAAGATCCTCGTCTGCAAAGTCACGGAAGAATATGTCCAGCGCTTCCTCTTGCCAGCGTAGAGTATTTCGAGATCGTACAGCCTCGACAATCTCCTCCATAACGGGCCCGTTGGTGTTCTGGCTATCCGCCTGGGAAGGAGACGCAGCACTCGGGCCATCACGCACAGCCAAAGGCAGCATGGAAGAGTTGAGAACAGACGCTGAAAGAGCACGAGAGCCATCATTGGACGAAGTACGGCGACGCTTGCCGGGAGACTCGGGGGCCGGCTGACCCATAGGCATAGTAGTAGCAGGTGGTGTGGATTCGAACGGGTTCGAGGTGCTTGTAGTGGGCAGCTGTCGCTTGCGGCTTTGTGTGATCGTCTCGTCCGGTGGGGTCAGAGCATTGGCATTTGCTACAGTCGGTGGTCCGCGTGGAGGAATTGTAGTAGACGTCGGTCGCGGTTGGGTCGCCGACCCAGTGGAAGATGTAGTGGGAGTTTGAGTCAACATGGGTCGCGAAGTCGGGCTCTCGAGGCCAGGAGGTCGAGGAGGAGGAGGATCGCTTGTCAAATTGAGTATACCGGTGCCCGGCATATCAGGGTCATCGGCCATGGGGCCGTCTGTTCGTCTCCGTGGTTTCATTATACGTTTGGGAGCGCCACCTGAGCCGATGACGTCTGGATAAAGAACTTCCATAAAGTCTTCGTGATCAAAGGGTCGGCCGCGCAACGCCCTGGAAAGCGGTTCCCTCTATTTGCGAGTCAGCATGTGCTTGACAAAGTCGTTTTGTATGCGCGAGGCTATAGCAGCCGGGCCTCGTCGTTCGCGTGATGGCAATTCCCGTTCATTGCATCGTCATGGTGCAAGGAATGTTTACCTCGATATGGGCAGTCCACGCCTCCTCCGTAGCAGTGACCGTTCTCTTGACCGGATTATAAACAAACTCGGGGTCCTCACGAAGGCCTCTCCATAACCGAAACCGTTTTCTCGCGTTGTCACTCTTGTTGATCAGGTGGCTCTTAGCCGGATAGGCGCCATGGCTCTCCTGCAGAGCCAGAGCAGCGCGCTCCCAGGCCTCTGCTTTGAAGGAGGAATTTTCGCGGAGACCAAGCTGGACGCTCTCGCAGAGACTTCGGAAGAAGGTCGCTTCGTATGCCGGAGTCCAGCTGAAGCGCGGAGCTCTTCGATCGCGGTCGACTCGAGCTGGGGGCTGGCCGTCTGGGCCGAGGACATCGACGTCTTCGTCGGACATTGTTCTAGAAGGGGAGGGGAAGAAAGGGAGAAGAGAAAAAAAGCCCCCTAGTGACTTTCGGTAGGAGGCTGAGGCTGAAGCCGAAGCAAATGCTCCAACAACCAAGTCGTGTGTTGGTACAGTCTTGACAAGACCTGACCTGGATCAAAAACGATGGGAACCAATTCTAAACCAAACCTTAGTGCTAGCTCGCCCAGTCGGGACTCGGCCGGGCGGTGAGTTTTTGGGTGGGGACGAGAGGTCACCTGGGCCACTGGGAATTTCACTATGCGTTATCACGTGCGACCACTGAAAAAGGGGAACAGAGGTCGACAGTTGCTTGGAACAGCGATTAATTTAAGCTGGACGTTCAGAATCGACGGTAGAATGATGATATCACATCGATGTTTATGGTCTTGGTTCATTGTCTATCAAGATGCAACTCACCGGAACTTTTGCTCCTTGGCCTCGATCCAGGGCCGCGGACAGGGATTGGTGAGAGCTGAGGCTCAACTCCCCGAGAAAAGTCCATCTCATTGGTCTGTTTGAGCCTGTGACAGGTCAAGGCGATACGACATAACGGTTCTGTATTGCAAGGATTAATTGATCTCACCAAACATTACATTGCATGCGCCGACACTTGCATAGTTCCTTGGCCATCTTGATTCGAGCATGAGTCGGTACATAACTTTTCTCTGTGATAGAATCTTTTTATTATGGAGATGTCCCACTGTCGAATGGAGCATCTTGCCCGGTATAGCCGCGGTTACCGCCTGTAGCATTACCTAACATTACATCGATGCCTATAATCTGGGCCTTGACAATCTTTACTCTGTTTAGTAGGCCAAGTGCACTTTGCGTCACTCAGACTCCGATATCGATGAGAAATGTAATTGAGTTTGCAGACCCAAAATAGTGAAATTATTCTATCGACCAAAGATATCTTGGCCCATGACTTCGAAAAATGTAAGAGTAAATGTCATCAGACTAGAATTCATCACTGAATTTTCAAGAGAAGGATCAGAGGAACAAGAATTGAATAAGAGCAAAGAATGCAATACCAGCACCAGCCAGTCCCAAGTGTTGACTCATGGCGCCAGATACAATAACAGGGTGGTCGGTGGACTCTCCTGTCCGGGCGTTAGTTTTGATACCTTTCACGAGATCAATCATGGTGGACTTACCAGGAGATGCACTCTCTGGTGAATTAGGGACTGGGGTAGGCTTGACGCTTGATCGGAATCCATTGTCGTCTCCAGTGACCTTGGGTGCAGTGTTTCCTTGCTCCTCGGACTGCTCCTTGGGCTGTTCCTTGCCGGGTTTTGCCATTGGCATTTCAGTTGGTGCAACCTCATTCATGTAATGACCCGAAACAGGGTACGTGATGGTCGCGGAAATAGGCTCGGGGCCACAAGTAGTACACGTCTGAACCTCACACGTGAATCCATATGGAAGATCGTGCTCATTCTTGGTAGGCTTTGCCTCCATGCCACTATATGTCTCCGTGATGACATACTCCTGTTCAAACAGACCAGTAGAGCAGAAAGCAGGGTACTTGGTAGTGTATTCAAGAGTATGGACACAAGTTGGGCAGCCGCAGTGACAGTCGGGAGCTTGGACTTCAACGATGATGACTTCTCCTGTCACAGCTGGCTTGTGAACCACGCATGTCGGGCCGGGCACGGTGACTGTAGCCGGAGGACGAAGGCCATCGCGGGTGAAGCATTGAGTTATCGTTGCTGTGCGGGTTTCATACTGGACATTCTCTTGAGCAACCCCCAAAGCGGCGAAGAGCGCTGGGATAACGAGTGACTTGGAATACATGATTAACGAGGGCGAAGAGCAAAAATGCACCAAACGAATGACTGCAGCTGGAAATCACACAGCCTGAGCAAAGAAGCAGAGAAAGAGTGTTTTGAACGGCATAAAGGGGACTTGGCGCTTATTAAAGCCTCATGCTAGTAATGAGGAAATGTTACGTCCATACCTCAACGTCCATGTAATTACCTAAAGACTGTGGCTTACCGGCGACATGAATAGTTTCATGCCAGAATATGATAGTGACCCGTGTAGCGCGTGACGCCATGCTCTATTTGCTCTTAGCGGTCATTGTTGGTGCTCGCTTACTTTTAAATTTCGGTTCCCATGGATAGCTTGACAGTGGCTGACTGAAAGGCCAAATTTCGTTACGGCGTTTTGTTTCGTGGAATCCAGTGATTGTGTTGGTATCAAAATTCTGTGTTGTCTACTCTCTGGTATGCAAGGGATCAACTCAAGGGAGTCTTGGTGACTAGCTAACTTTAGTTTAGTACGATGGTTCATGTCTTGTCTAAACGTGGGCGCGATGACATCTAATGTCAAAACTCATATTCTAGACCAACGCCTCACTAACTAGATTGAGACATTGTCCAGTTGTTGCTCGCCACCAAATCTTTTATTGTCTTGAGATATTCACAGCAACCAACAGATGTCTTATGCTTCATGGGCTGAGTGTATGCAGGGCTGAGCTGAACATTTGAGTGTAGAGCAGTTAAGAGTCGTAGAAATTCACAGTATTGGCTCAGTCCCTGGTTTCCGTCTTCCCAGAGTTTTCATTGATTCTTGATGATGTCTCCTGTTCGCTTGTTCCTATTTTTCCTTGCAACCCTTTTTGGTGCATCCATTGCTCTTCAAGATGACCAAAGGCGGCCTGAATCTTGGTGCATAACCTACCTATCAACTTATCTGGTCCCAAGATCAGATGGTCACACTCGCCCTACAGCTTCATCTGCTGACGAAGCTGTTTTCTCAGGGGCCTCTGGAGCAACTTTGGCATTTCCAACAGATCTAGCTATCCCCTCAACCTTTCTTGTTCATGATGATCTAGCTATTACCACTTCGGCCCCAAGTTCAACTACTGGAACTTCAGTCCCCCATCCCAGTGGTCGATCAGTGATATTCCGCGTCGTTCCAGAGTCGCAAGACACTAAACGGGATCTCCAAGTTAGGGCAGTTGGCGGTTTCGTTGGTAGCCAGTCAGAGATCTGTGCTGCTGCCTCTATCTTCAAATTTGTGCAAGGTCGTTTGTTGGACGGCACCTTGCCCATATACTACAACGGCGAGGATTTCAAGGAGCTACGTGGCTATCCAGGAGCGTTACCTCCAGATGCTGTTACTGAAACCTTTGCTGATGAGGCTGGATTCCTCCGATTTTTCAGCTCAGTCCTACCAAACGGCGAGGCAGGCTTCTGTCAGGACGCTGAGAGCGGCCAAGTCAATATCACTTTCACCGCATCACCTCCAAGTTGCCAATCTATATGATTTTCTATTACTGGAGGTATTGGCATCCTTTCGTGTCACTGATGCTAGGCTGACTCGTTTTCTTCTAGTTAACGAATGCCGAGACGGTGATCTATCCTCGAATCCTTCTTCTCGACCTACCAGTATGCCCCTGCTGGCAGAGTCTACATCAGCACTGCCCGGAACGACATCTCCCTTGAACTCAATAGCTTCTCCGACCACAAAAGATATCCAGAGGGGTTCTTCCGCTATAGATGTCCCAACCTTCACTTCTCAGGTCAAGCCTGTGTATACGAGCTCTTTCCGATTTTACAACAGCTCCTCATCTATTGAATACCCAACACGCCCCGCTATCACTCAAATATCTTCTATGTTAGACATTTTAACCCCTGTCACCGATATCCCACTTACATCTCGGCTGAGCTCTTGGACCTCAAATGCGGAGACCCTACTCACAGATGCACTATCCACGGATGTCTTGGGAACGTCGGAAGAACTACCTTCTATCTTTGATCCCACTACAACTGCCACGTCAACTACTATGAATGCTCAAAATACAATTGGCACTAGCTCTGGGACTGTCTCCACGGCAAGCTCTATTGTTCACTCTTCTACCACGTCTGGCCCATCATACAGTTTCGAGACTGATACTAGCACACTATCAGATCTTCCATTGGATGCCAGTTCATCTTTTGACTCGAGCCCAACCTTCACGACAACTACCGATACCACAACTTCAACCACTACAAGCTCTGAAGCGACGGGCACACGTGCGTGTCCAGTGGGCCTGTCTGAACCACTGACACTATTCGATGGCCAAAGGCCATCTGACAATGGTGTCGAATGGCTCGTGCTTCCTTTTCTGATAACACTCTACGGTGAAACTAGTGATATGCTCTATATCAGCCCCAACGGACTTGTTACACTCAGAGATTCGTTTGGGGCCGATTCGGTCTCCAATATGGCCTTACCAGATGAAAATGTTGAGTCACTGGCTATTTTCCCTTATTGGACTGACATGATAGTCCCCGAAGGTTCAGGGGCTGAGGTTACATATCAGATTGAGGATGTTCCCAACCAGCCAGGGGTGTTGACCATAGATTGGTGTGTTTTCACCACACCAGATGGGACTGAGCCAAATCACTTCCAAATGGTAGTCTCAGAGGATCAGCTAACCCCAATTACCTACTTATACTATACTATCCACCTCGGGGGAAGTTATGCTACTATCGGTGCCCAAAATCGTGATTCGGGTCAGTTTATGCAGTACTACGGTCCTATCCCAGATAGAACATTTATGGAAGTCAGCACGTTCAGTGGCGGGGAAGATTTACGTATTGGTCAGTTCTGAGACCCCTCAATTCTTAATGGCCACTTCGTTATTTCATTATTCTTTCTTCTTTTGTTTTCATGCCTTTAATCTCTGGATTAGCTAGGCTTTTAGGGTTACGCGAAGCTTGATCTAATATTTGTCTACACGTGATCCGCTTCATGGCCAGATAAGATGTCGGCAGAAGAATATTATAGTGTATAGTTGATTTGCCTCCAAACCTCGAGTGTATTAGCTACACTACAATATCATCTCAGTCTTGGCTGCCCCTCGGCTTAATCCCTCAAAGAATGACGCCGAGTATCCAAGATCCCGTGCTAAGTAAAAGACCAGAGATATAAAGCTGAACCATCCAAAGAATATAAGCATAGCATTTTTAACCAACCCATTAAAGACCGAATCCAACAGGTTACAACGGCGGAAAAATCAAGACTCGGTCAGATTACCTCATCAATGAACGTAAAGTCGTCTCTATGTACACCAACTATGTGAAGTGAAAAGAAGAAAAGGCGCTATGTTGAGCTTTGGATAAAATCCAAGTTAAGGCTCCTCCAGTCCCAGAGCTGCGAGAAGTCCCCGAGGTCGACATCGGTGATGTTGCCGAGACCGTAATCGATATTGAGATCCTGGGGATGATAATCAACGTATGTTGGAGGAACCATGCCACCTCCGGTATGATCCGCATGTGGCATGCCATAAAGACCCCCTTGGACAATGCCATCGATACCAGCGCTTGGTGATGGGACTTGCTGAGGTGGTATGTGGCCGGGTGCGACACCCATGTTGTAAGCGACCTGAGGTTTCACATAACCTTCGGCGGGAACTTGGTTGTTCATGACATAACCAGTGTTCTCATGATTGTCATAAGAAGAGTGAGTGCTCTGCGGCGTCGATCCTGAAGGCGCGCCTTCTGAACTAGCGTAATAGCTCGGCGAGCTTTCCTGTGACACCTGTTCCGGATGATATCCATCCTCAGGCTTGATAGCGACATCATGACTGGTATTTGTGGCTGGAGCGGCTGGAGAAACTGGAGCGACTCGTTGTTTCTTGCGATTCACAGTCTCACGTGGCGGTGGCGATCGTCTGGGCATCTTCTGAACCATCTTGACAAGAATGTCATGAGATGTCTTTGCTGTCTTCGATAGAGCCTTGAGACGCTTCAATAATCTGATTGCAGTATCCACTGAATCGACAATCTCATCCTTTCTGGGGATTGTGTCGTCCTGGTCTTTGATAATGGCAGTGGAGAGAACAGCGGCTGTATCGAAAAGTGAGAAGATGATAAAGTGGAATCTTGCGTCTCGGTGGGAAGCATGGTCAGCCCACCGAGTAGTTGTGTCTAAATTCTTGAGGGAATAGAAAACTGCATCTTCTCGGACTGCTAGTAGATCCGCAGGTGAGTTTTTCGTGTAAACTTGCGCCATGAATGCTCGCATAGGGTTGAGAATCATGAGATATGCCATCGTATGGATATAGAACCGGTGGTAGACAATCCATGGAAACTTGTAATCCTTCGACGTGTCAGGGTTGTCGACATCATAAACTGCCGGGAAACGTCGGATCCAGTCTTCAAGCATGGACTTGTACTCTTGAATATCGCTTGCTGAGGTGATGTTCTTGGGAGCACCCCATCGCTGCGCGAGTTGCGTGACCAGCTCTGACTGAAGTTTCATATGAAGAAGTGGTGAAGGAGAAAAGTCCTCGAGGGTGAGACTCGGTGGCTCTACGTTGATATCACTGTGGTCAATGATCGTCGGGCGACCTAAACCAGAAGCGAATTGCCTGAAAAAAGTCAGCATCCCATGCACCTAGACTCTGGTGGTTTCACTTACCAATCCCAGCAATCCAAGATACACCATACTCTCCGACGCATCTCGCGTTCAAATTCTGATAACCCTTCGGCGATGGCAGTCCGATGAAGACCTAATGCAAGAGTTAGATCACTGATGTCGCAGGAGGTCGAACGTACTCACCTAATTCATGTGCCTCTCGAACAGCAGCACCAATAACATGCCACGCCTCAACGAACTTCGCTTCCGACTTGTACCAGTAGATTGAGTGAAGCATCCACTGAATATTCAGCAGATGACAGTGGCCCACCGGAATCACCCTTCCGAGTTCCGTAGCGGCTTTGTGGTATTCTACCGTGAGCTTCTCTGCAGGCTCGGAGAGCTCAACTTCGACAATGGGCTTTATCTCAACATCTAGGTGCTGCGTGGCACACGCGCAGACCATGACGAGCAAGATAGTCCATTGTAGTGAGAGCGACTGATTACGATTCCTTCGCTCCCACCACTGTTGATATTCCTGGAGGAAAGTTGGTGGATAGATGATGTAGTAGTGATAGTTCATGTTGTTGAAAAAGCTCTGAACAAGAGCATCTGGCCGGATGTCAGATGATAATTCCTTCAGAATATGGTTAATATGAGACAGTACTTACCCATCTGAGGACGACCAGGCAAGACATCGAGTGCATGCTTGAGCTGGGAACAGGTATTGGGATGGACCCAAGTCAGTTCGCCCAGAGGCTTCTTGTCCTTCTGGGATGGATTTTAGTACATAATTCGACTGATGGGGCATTTTTAATCAGTATGGAGAGAATTTTCTTACCTTTGCATCAATAGTCAGTGACTCAAAGAGAGGGCCAGCGGCATAGCCCATCGCTCCCAGCCCAACGTCGTCGTCATCCTCACCAGGCTCGGAGTCGTCGGGTTCAACGTCATCCTCACGACTACGCGAGCGCTTCTTATCGCTATTTGGTGTGAGCCCGTCAGACGGTGAGCTCGCAGTCGTCGGCTGAATGAAGCGGCATTTATCTGCGACCTTGCGCTTCTGGCAATGGTTGCAAGGCCATTCTCGATTGCACTGCTGGCAGTGAGTACAGTGACTTCATATGCCCCGCGGGGCGATCGATAGGTTCCCCAGAGGGTCTGCAGGTCATCTCTGAAGGGCTGTGACGTACCTTTTGCTTCCTGCGATGACATTCAGCGCAGGCAGAGCGATACTGAACTGTATGCGAGCTGTTGTCCTCCATGTTAGTGTGGAGTTGACGTGTGGAGATCGACAGGGAGCGACGCGAAGAATCCAAGGATGGGCAGAGGAAAAACTTTGTCGCGTTATTCCGGAATTGCTGTAATTGAATACGGAATGGCTCTTGTCTGGTTGTGGTCTAGTCTAAACGGATAATGCCGCCCGTTTGTCTTAGATCACCTGCTGTTCCTTTGTTTTTGTCCAGAGCCTCGGCAGTTGATTTTATGATGATATTTTAGTGATAACTGATCTCTTCGAACAGGATTTCAGGAGTTGCAGACCGTCGTAGTAAAAACCACCCCTGAGAATTGAATATCGGTCCGAGTTTCAATCACCAAGAACGCCATCGTTACCTACATCTGAGACCCCAAATCTGTTGTGGCACCTGAGAAGCAGCCAGCCTCGGACTACACGAAGTTACAAAGCCACATTTCTCACAGTTGAAGCAATGCATTCCAGACTAAATTGAATGGCTTTCTCGTCTTTGCGGGGCTGTGACATGATGATAGGTTGTTATGCCAAACGCCTTTCCGGCAAGGCTGAAATAGACTCGCATGTTATTCGCCCAACGTCGCAAAAAGGGTCCAGACTCTCAATTGCGGGTAAAGATTCCCTTGATAGGACTCAATAAGCGCATCCCACGAAAAAGTTTCAATCGTACGAACAGGTGATGTCGCTGATGTCCGAGCACGTATGTCACTATCAACAGTGTCAAAGCTCAGACTTACGTGGCAATCAAAGTGAAACTAGTGAATAGTAATCACGAGGATCCTGGTATTTGGAATTATTCCGCTTTAAGGTTCGCGGCACGGCAAATTCATCCAGCGCTCGAGCTACGCTGAACAGAGCGACCGGCAAGCTCATCTTGGTCTAGGCGCCGGGGTAACGTGGATGCTTCCGCCACTCTCCATGGTATTTGATTGATTGATTTGAAACCATCAACTTCTCGCCACTCGGTGAGATAGATCTCTCCATGGTATTTATTCGCCAGTCTCCAAGTTGATCTTCACAAACCGGTATTGATGTGTCGAGGACTATAGGCAGAGTCGTGAGTTCAATGAAGGCGTGGCTAAGTTCAACCGACTTCGATAATGAATAGCGAAAGTAATGTATGAGAACTAATAGACAGAAAAGAGGACAATATAATGGCCTACGATGAAGCCTCGGCCATTAGAATCCGCACGCCGACATTCTATGATGTAAATCAGCCTTAAGGATACACAAAGTCTCGATTCCGGCAAAAGGCAATATCTAGATCAGATTTATAGTTCTGCCGTCATTACATTCCACGTTGTTCCTAATCAGTAATTTGAGCACGGCTTCATTGGTCAAGCAAGTGCCGACTTCGTTTAGTCCTTTGTCAAGCCTTGTCTAATATCCTTCAAAGACTTGATCTGCTTTCCGTTTGTATCAAAGTTATTTTCGCTGAGCCAAGCCTCAAACGCCTTCTTAACAAGAGGCCACTCCTCGTCAGTAATGCTGAGCCAAGCAGTATCTCGACGCCTTCCTTTGAGAATCATATGCTTTCTATACCAACACGTTAGCAGGGGTTCTCCAGATGGGATCTATGATGAATACCTGAAGATACCCTCAAAAACAAAGCCCAGTCGCTCAGCAGCTGCGAGACTAGGCTTGTTGAGATGATTGGCTTTCCACTCGACTCGTAGATAACCAAGATCCTCAAAGGCGTGCTTGATAATCAGATAAAAGGCTTCAGTAGCAGCACGTGTCTGTTTCAACTGAGACCCAAAGATGATGCTCCCAATTTCAATCCTTCTATGGCTTGGAACGATGTTGAGATAAGACACTTGCCCAACAGGTTCAGACTTGGGGTCATCGCGTGGCCCAGAGAGAACAGTATAGAATAATGGATCCTCGGACTTGCTGAATCCTTCAACAGCCTCTCTCCATTGTTGCTGATCAATGTATGGTCCTCCAAACATATATGTCCAAAGATGACCGTTTTCCTCGCCGCCGAGATGCTTGTAGCT